AATTCCTTCAGTACTAATATGTGATATCTGGACATCTGCCTTTCAAACAGTTAGTCCATTATACCTCATTATATAGCATAACAGCTTAATTACTCTAAATTAAATATTCCTAAATTTCTTCGGCCGCGTCTTAGAACTGTTTAAGACTTATTTAATATAGTTACAATATCAGTCTTATTTCTGTTAAATATTATATATCTGCGCAGCCAAAAATATAATACAATTACACACTCGCCACGCCGAAGTATAAGCCTAGATTGCCAGAGCTCAAATTTCGCTAAGCCATAATAATAAAAGTTATGTAAAAATAAATATTAAACAAACTGTTGACAAGCGACTTTATATTATTCCCAATATCTATTTAACAAAATAAAAGTTCTTTTAAACTAAACTTAATACCTTCCGCGAATTCCAGGAACACATTAGTAAATATCTTATAACACACAGTATACCTATCTTCTCTAATAACAGATTAGATAGGTTGAAAGACTGCGTTCAACTTCCGGAGAAAAAATATTATTATTTATAGAATATTTGTTTTTTTATTTAATTAACATAAAATCTTAAGCCAAGAAGCTTCTCCAAATACTTTTCTTCGTATAATCTAGGTATGTTAATGGCGTGGTTGACTGGCATCGGCCTGCAATTAATATAATATAAAATCTTATCCAAAAAGTCGATGCTCTTTATTACAGAATCTGATATTATTATTTTTTCTACAATACTTAAATCAGTAATTTTTCTGTATAATAATTCGCGGAAACACAAGCTTATATTATTACAGCTTTCAGTAAGTTTATAACGCAAAATATTATAATAAACTGATCTATCATTCTTACAAATTTTATTTGAGAATATTTCCAAAAATAAAAAACTAGATCTTAGTTCACAGAGCACTTGTTTCAGACGACTGGTTAAGTAAGCCAGGTCACTAAGAGAATCAGTTTTCTAAAAATAACATTAAGATAGTCATACTAACCAGCTTTTTTGGACTGTACCTAAAAAGTCTCGAAGTTAAATTATAAAAAAAAATTATTATTAAATAGTCTAAACTCACAACAGACTTACTGTACTTTAACACTTGTATTTAAATTTTGATATCCAGTTATTCTCAGACCAGTCGTTGGCACATTTGCGATAAGACTTTATAATTTCTAGTAGCAGTAATTGGCGAAAACAGCTTATGCTAGGATTAAAATTTACAGTATAGCTTAAATAAAACGCGTTTACTCGTTTAAACTTTATATCTTTCTACTAAATTACGCTTGTCGGAAACTGTCGTTCCACGTGTTGACCACGAATTGTTACGGGACGGATGGATTGTGCTAATCGAAACGTGCCTTAGAACAAGAGAAATAGCTGAAGAGCTATTTCGTCTGTTCGTACGAAATTTCTTTATGTGTGCTAAGCTAGCGCTAGTTTAGTATGTAGCGTGCGATGCCTCAGGCACCAACTGGTGTCTGAAGCTGAGCTCTATATCAGGGCCTTGGTCCCATAACAGTAATACCTGTAGCAGAAATAATATATTTAAAAAATTCAACTTATTGCTGAAAAAAAGAGTATTTAGATAATTTAGTATATAGATTAGCTTATCATAGTCGTATCAATACTTTTTTAATATATTTAGTATATTTATATTTTATTATTAAAAAAATAAAATAATTGTCTAGATACGCAATGCAAACGACATTAAGAATATTATGCAATACAGAATATATATAGTTTTAGAAAAAAACAGATGTATTAAGCAAGCTAAATAGTATTATTATATACTTAAAATAACTATAATATATACAAAACGCAGTCTTTTATTCGTTTCTCTTCTTAATACGGATGCGATAATAGGCGTTCTGAATATCGATTTTACTAAAATATTTATATCCGGCTAATCAATTAAGGATTTCAGAGATTAAAAATAATAGATATTAATTCTTTATTATAACTTTATTAAGTCCACAGTAATCCACGCATAGCCGCAAACTTTTATTCTTTTTAAGTATGAAGAGAATAGGGGCCCCTGCAGAGCTTTTAGATAGGCGTATTCTTTTATTAGCAGTATTTTCGTTAATATAATCTTTAAGTACTAAGAGTTCTTTCTCTAAAAAAGGATAAATAGGTCTAAACGGGGGTGATTCGCCTTCGAAAAGATCGATAGTATAATTCTTATTGTAGTATTTAAAAAAATATTAGATTAATTAGATAAAAAATATCGGCAAATTTGACCAGCTCTGACGAAATAGAATTGTTTAGACAGTGTTCTGATCTCTTATTGTTATCTGAAAGCTATAGTTTTTTTAGGGCTTTAATAATAGTATAAACACAAGCGCTATTCCGGCAGGCCTTAGTAAATTCCCGAGGACTTAATTTTTAGATTTAATCAAATTCAAACTACCATTATTTACTTTATAAAAACAAATAAATTTTGTAGTCGAGCAGAGTAGTTATTAAAAGCAATATTAAAACGTTTTAGATAATAGTAATATATAATCTAATAAAACACTGTTATACTCCTCTCGAATCAGTAACGTCTAAAGAAATATTTTATATCCCATAGCTAATAACAGAAATATAGTTAATAACTTTAAATCTTAATAAAGATTTTAGTAATTTTAAAAAAAAGTATTATTATATAAATTTAATACTAACCAGATCACATGCCGTATAACTATTAATATCTGTATAGATTTCTCTAATGTAGAATATTTATATTGGCATCGACATCTTATCGGCTCTTTCTACTTTATAATACAGGGCCGAGGCAAAAAAGTTAGCCTCAGCCCTTTCTATTTTTTTGTATTGGTTTTTCTAGCTTGCAACTCTTAAATTCGGGCTGATTTTTTTTTAAAAAATTTGATTAGCAAGATATTTAATACTATTATATAAAAAGCACCGCAGTAGTTTTCTGGTCGGCTTAAAATAATCAGACTTAGAATCAGAAAGTTAAGTATTCTTATAGAATCATAGCCGTTTCTGAGACGTGTTGGATCTATCAGATCCCCATTTATATTTTTGTTTTTATATATATAGGTTTTAATAATAAATAATAAAAGATACCATCTTGTCTCGTTTCTCAGATAGTTGGTATACATATTCTTTAACATAGCAGCTGAAATCAGAAAGTAATTTTATAAAAAAAATATAGCTGCGTTTCTTTTCAGTAGATTTAAGAAAATATTATTTTAAAGTATTAAGATAAGCGTGAAATTCACGAGAATCTCAATTGTTTCGCTGCCGAGCTCACTCTAACTGGCTTATTATATCAGATTCGAAAATAACAGCATTTCGGATAAGAAAGAGTATCTATTAAATAAAAACAGACTACAAATAGCTAACGTTTTTTTTTATTCTGGTAGTAATTTTTTAAAATAACGGTACTATCTCTGCCGGCAGATCGCACTTATATAGCTTACAGTCTTAAGAATCTTACAATAATTATTATAAAACTTAGATAACATCTTCTAAAAGTTATAATCTAGATTATAAAACTACTCCTGACGTTTTTGAATATTAAAGAAAAATTCAAATTACGGGATATCTTTGATTTTAATATTTATTTTGAATTTACTTAAAAAAAAGTTTTTCGTTGCCGAGTCGATAGCAATTCGATCTTGTTATATTAAATTTCTCGTTGTAACTCGACAACTTGTTTTTGCAGCTGTTAATAATCTTATAATCGACTAATAGTATCTCTAACTGTGGTAAGATCCTTTACCAAAGAATTTGATAGCGAAGATAATAAACTATCAGTAATAGAAAAAGTTTCTAATTCTGAACCGCTATCTAAACATAATAATTACAGTGACATACTGTATTCTATAGGTAACTGAGGAGAAAGAATTAGAATTATAAAAAAAAAAGATCAGTTAAATATAGAATAGTAGCAGTCTATTCATTTCAAGACTAATCCTTGCTTTCCGATGGTCTAGCAAGATCCTAGGGGTTAAATATTAAGAAATCAGAAGTCATTGACGTCAAGACCACACGCAGAGGGTACGGAGGTAATCCACCTCCAATCCTCCATGTTCTCGCAAGTTACCCATGACAATGTTTAGCTTTTTTAATTTTTCTGATATTAATAATATTTTTATTTTTATAGAATTGTTCTCGATCCGGAGTTTAAATTTAAATAAATAATCTATTAAGACTTTAAAAGAAATTATTTTTATAAAAATATTTAAATAATTATTATTGTTATAGATAACCTGCGAGAACATGGCGGATTAAAGATAGTCTACCTCCGTATCTTCTACACAGAGGTCTTAACGTTAATGACTTTTGGTTTCTCAGTACTTAAACCCTAGGACCCTGCTAGACCCTCGGGATAGTAAGGATTAGTCTTGAAGATTAATAGACTGCTGCTATTCTATACGTAACTGACCCATTCTCCCTTTACAACAGTGTTTTGATATATTTTTTAATATCTTTAGCTCGAACTGGATATATGTATATAATAGAAATAATATAGTTTTTTTAAGAGTCATGATGTCAATGGCGCTATTCCCCACCATGTATCTAAACCCCAGAACCTTGCCAGACCTCCGGAATGGCAAGGATTGATCTTGAGAATTTGGACTGCTACTATCCTATACCGAACCAACCTCTTTTCCTTAACACAGATTCATTCCTGCCCTGTCTCAATAGGATACAAAGCCATCACATAGAACACAATCGAATATGTATCCTACAATTTCTGGTAATACAAGAATCTATATTATCATTATTTGTCCCTTCAGAACAAGAATCGAGGCATAGGTATTGATGGGCAAAATCCCGTTTCCGAAACGCAGAGCTGGTCGAGATTACTGAAAGGCTTCGCTTATTGTGTTTCAGAGAGAGAATACCATTATCTTAATTGAAACGACACTGAATCAGAAAAAATTAGAGTTTAGAGTACAAACTCTTTGTTTTCCTGACTTGTAAGACCTGATTCATGCATTAGTCACTTTTAGCACACATAGCACACTTAGTATAAATAGAGGGGTAGCAATCTAGATTTGATCTCAGTGGATATGAACCCCTGACAGTACATTGTAACCTGAAGAAACATGTGATCGTTCGTGTAGTGACCTCTGCTGCTGTGCAGATATCGAACCCATCGAGAACAACGGCTTCTCGCCCCTCTTTGCTCGCCAGTAGTTCGTTGACCATTTCAACTCTACACATCCCTGCAGCGTCCACTGCCACTTTCTCTTAAACCCTTCTGTGACCTCCCAATTCCTCGGATCAGCAGGCTCGCCCCAGATGAGTAACCCGAAAGGCCCCGTAGAGGTACCATCCCAGAAACCCATGATGTCGGTGCACAATTCCTCGTCATCCCAGTCATTCCCCGCCTGTAGCAAGTTATCTCGCATGATCGGACAAGGAAATAAATCAAGCCAGGTGTGGTGGATGCTGCGACGCTGGAGGCTCGTCGGTATAAGCCTTGCAGGGATGACCGCATCTTCTTTGAAGCATCCTCCTGGCTGTGCCATTACGAACGGGGAGATTGAGTCGTCCTGCATCCACTCCCACGTGATCCCCAACACCACCATGTTGTGGACAAACGCGCGATGTACATTGATTCTCGTTAAAGAAAGCAGATGATCCGCACAGGGCGAATTGAGCCAATAACTGTGGTGAAAACGGGCGACCTCGTGCAACAAGATCGCTTTCTTGTGGACGTCGAGTAACTTGAGCCACTGAGTGCTGACCTTTCCAGCCCACGACGACATATATCGAGATAGTTCAGCATTGCTGATGCCTGTTCTAGAATCGACGCTCTTAGATAAGCTGTAATACGGTTTACTAATACCAGCAGCGGAGCTCCTCGGGATCAGTGCATGGTTCACATCTTTGTCCGATACTAAGTCTTGCACAGTCGCTGGCGCTGTAGACTTTGATGCTATGGGACGGGGTGACTGCCTCGGCTGATGTTTTGCTTGCACAGGGCGCCATTGCCCATTGGGATAGATGAGACCTTTTTGAAGCCTCTTTTTGAATCCTGCTCATTGGGACATCTTGAGTATATGCATTTTGCTGGTGCAGTAGATCTCAGGCTCGGAGGGACTTACGATAAGCTCTCTGATTTATTCTATTCTGCAATCTTCTCCGCTCCTTAGCATCTGATACTCCGCGCCAATCATCTGCTGGGAGGTTCTTGGGTGTAAGCATCTTGTGGCCCAAATCTGGTAAGCTTGTGTGCTGATGGACTTGGGGGCGCACGAAAGAGGGCCAGCTGCTCCTAATAATTCTGACAGCATGCGCATAGGATCTATTTCCGTGGATAAATCCGATCGTTGCAGAAAATACTCGTGGAATGGACCCTCGTTAGGTCGAGTGTCGCGTGCGCCCCACATTTCGCGCTAATTGCTGACCGCTATTATTTTGGCGTCGCCACATATAACTTCTGGGTCCACACCCAGTCCACCAGGATCTGGTCTTAAGGATACATGAAAGCTGAATATTGAACTTTCAACCTCGCAATTTTCCGTAAGCATCTTGTCACTCTTCCGAATCAAAATCTCGTGGATTGATTACCGAGTTAGACAGTATAGCAATTCTGCCAAGAACCCCGGCAGAATTACCGCCATAACTGGAGTTCGCCTAGTACATTACATGTTTCATTACTATGGATGAAACTCCAACCGTTGCCAACGGATTTATCGCTCTTAGCGGAAGTTGAAGATATGATGTCATACAAATGACGGAACTTGGCATGATAAGTGCGTTGCATCCAGGTCGAGGAAAATTACGATTACGTAACGAACCAAAGAGAAAGCTTATCCATGTTAACCTGTTTTCTATGCTTTCTCGCAAATCAAATAGAAGAATGATGTATGAGTGCGTCACAAATGATAAGTATTTGACCAGCACACAGATGTCTCAAGTGTGTGTGTGTGTGTGTGTGTGTGTGTGTGTGTGTGTGTGTGTGTGTGTGTGTGTGTATTCATACGCCGACCTCTCGCCTTAGGCGATATGCAGGTGCCTACTATCTCTGGTCTCTATGTACATCCATTTCTTCCTGACCATTGCTTTCCGGACGAACTTTGAGCCTCGTCAAGGCCTATCGGGGCCAGAGCCTGGGGTTGTGTTCTGCGGCCCTCATGGCGCGCGACTTCGGAATCCCTGTGACGCCTCCGCAAAGTCTACTGTGTACACAGTAGAACAGGAGGGAATCCGCAGACATCCGCATGGGGGCTTGTGGACACCCACAAGCAATAACATAATCGGTAAGCGAGTGGGCCGCGCAAGCCAGTGTGCTTCCTGTGTATTGCATATAAAAGAGCCTACGTTCAGATCCTTATTACTCAACAATGTTGTCATTTAGAAGCCTAAAATTATACATAAAGTAAAAGTTAAGAATAATCGACTTCTATTTTATATTATGTAGAAGTAGAATAGCTCAAAATTATCAAATACCAAGTAACTTTAAATACCTAAGATTACAGTGTATATTATAATACTTGTATAAATAAAGTCTTGAAGATATTAAATCTTAGTATATCTATATAAAAAGTATATATAAGTGTAATATATTACTATCATAAAGTTTAAAGTTGGTAAAGTTATAAGTTTTCAAAGTATGCTTTTGTATATGTGATATACAGGGAGCCCACTTGCTTGCGCGGCCCACTCGCTTACCGATTACGTTACTCCAGGTCTGTCAGCAGCTTGCATTAACGCCGATATTACCGTTGATTCTCTCCCTCCCAACCATATGTTCAAAGTTTCCAAGGTTCACCTAGCCTGACGTAGAAGGCACTATGAATATAAGAGGCGTATCCTAGCCACTGATTTTGTTCCCAGTCTATAAACACATCTGGAATTGCAAGATTATCGGCTATTAATTGATAACCTGATACTACAAGATTCATTCTCTCAAATAATGTCTTCAAACGATTCGACTCCGTCCCCCCTGGGTCGTTACCGGCAATTGGCGCCCACTGCTTCTGTCCGCGTGTCCCCCTTATGCCTTGGGGCAATGACTCTCGGGCGAGCGCACTCGGAACGTTACGGTGAAGTCTCCAAGGAAACCGCTTTTGAGATTCTCGATCACTTCTACGAAAATGGCGGGAATTTCATTGACACTGCGAATGTATATCGCGACGGAGAGTCCGAACAATGGTTGGGCGAATGGATGGCGGCTCGCGGGAATCGTGACGAGATTGTTCTGGCAACCAAATACTCCAACCTTTGTCAATTCGACCCAGCTCCCAAGATATCGACCAACACAGCAGGCAATGGAACCAAATCCATGCGACAGTCCCTTGAGGCATCCCTTCGTCGGCTACAAACCAGCTACGTTGATATTCTTTATGTCCATTACTGGGATTATGCCACGTCCATTGCAGAGTTGATGCATGGTTTGAATGACTTGGTCGTCGCCGGGAAAGTGCATTACCTGGGAATCTCAGATACCCCCGCGTGGATCGTCACCAAGGCAAATCAGTACGCGCGCGATCACGGTCTGCGTCCTTTCGTGGTTTACCAGGGCATGTGGAATGCAGCTATGCGGGATTTCGAACGCGATATTCTGCCAATGTGCTTAGAGGAAGGCATGGCTCTTTGTCCTTATGGCACCTTAAACCAGGGTCGGTTTCAGACCGAGGCAGGTTTTCGAGAACGAGAGAAGCACAACCCGGGTCGCAACTTTATTCCGACCTCGGATCGCGATAAGCAAGTCTCGAAGGTCTTGGAGCAGGTTGCTTGTTCGCGGGGTGTGGATATCCCCCAGATCGCCCTCTCCTACATAATTCACAAGGCACCTTACGTCTTCCCGATTGTAGGAGCTCGGAAGGTCGATCACCTACAGGGAAGCATCAATGGTCTAAGGGTCCAGCTGTCTGAGCAGGAGGTTGAGCACATCGAATCTGCTTACGAATTCGATCACGGATTTCCTCATACCTTCCTTAGCGGTACCATGTTTGATCATTCTCGGCCCCGAACAGCCTATCATGCGAAGGATGTGAGTATGAATGCACAATTTGGACCTATGGACTGGGTCGACTCTCCTAGGCCTATTGGAATACTGGGAAGTGCGGAATCTCGTTAGGTGTGTCCTTGGAAGATCGCGATTGAGATACTTTGTGTCGAGGAATAACTACGATTGCCTGATTTAAGAACATCAAGCTGCTATTACTTCAATATCTCAGATGAAATCAAGTACTATATTTTTGTATCACAAGCACTAAGACTAGAACAAGGAAGTTTATGGAAATAAACTTCCTTGTTCTAGTCTTCCATAAACTTCCTTGTTCTAGTCTTAGTTCATCGATTTTTCTTAGCTCAGACCTTTCGGACCTTGTGGTCATTCTACATAGTAAAGAGTCTGTTAGGACACTCCAGAGCGAGCCTAGTGTGCCAAGCATACTATATTTACAAAAGTCGCTCCCTGGTGAGGGTCTTCATTTCTGTACTAGCTTCCCGCCTTTTTAATTGCCGGTGAAGTGATGAGGCTATTTTTCGCGATCATCCTCTTCTCTGGAGATGAATTCAGTTTTGACTACTGCCATCTGGCCATCTAACAATTTGCGCTCCACAGCAACTTAGTTCCAAGTTCGCCCTTATGCTCAAATATTGTGTATAACGTTTGGTTTCCAGGAGCGCTTATTCTTTTGCCAAGGTTGAACACACCCAAGTAAAAGACTCACTATTCTAGCCTTGGTTTCATTTAATGGAATTATATACTAAGGGAAAGCACTTATATTATATAATGTTATCTTATTGGGTGACTCGGGAGAAAGCTCTAAAATAGCAAACATCACATATCAACGAGAAAAGGTGAATAATCATCTCTTTTCAGCATGCTAGATGCGAGATGACCTCTTATATCTCCAAAGCTCATTTTGACAAGGAGTACTTTTCTGAAATGTGCTTATCATCACATTTGTTGTAGCAAACAAAGAAATGCGTGATCCTTGTTGAGTTTCACAGAATTTGTATGAGCAATTTCAGACCCGGTCGAGCATCGTCACATTTGGTTTTGTCTTTATAAGTAGGAGAAATATTTATTTAAGAATTAACATTCAATACCTGAGACACTTTTTTTTTCTTATATTTACATATAAGCCTGCAAGGACAACTTTGCTGGAAGGATCTTGTCATAGATAACCTGCGGAAACATGGCAGATTGAAGGTGGCTTACTCCCGTATTCTCTATATAAAGATCTTAATGTTAATAACTTTTGGTTTTTTAATACTTAATTCCTAGGGCCTCCTTAAATCTTTAGAATAGAAAGAATTAGTTTTAAAATTAATAAACTGCTACTATTCTATTGTCATAGATAACCTGTGAGAACATGGCGGATTAAAGGTGGTCTATCTTTATGTCTTGTATATAGAGATCTTAATATTAATAACTTTTAGTTTTTTGATACTTAAATCCTAGGGTTCTGTTAGATTTTTAGAATAGTAAGAATTAGTTTTAAAAATCAATAGACTACTGCTATTCTATATCTAACTTGTTACGGGACGGATGGATTGTGCTAATCGAAACGTGCCTTAGAACAAGAAGAAATAGCTGAAGAGCTATTTCGTCTGTTCGTACGAAATTTCTTTATGTGTGCTAAGCTAGCGCTAGTTTAGTATGTAGCGTGCGAGGCCTCAGGCATCAACTGGTGCCTGAAGCTGAGCTCTATATCAGGGCCTTGGTCCCATAACAATTATTATATATAATAAAAAATATCTTAATAGGCTAAAGGAACTTTAATATAACTTAGATATAAAAAATAAAATAATTTAAGCTGCAGTATTAAAACCGGCCAGGGCACGCCGGCCAGCCCGCTGCAGTATATATAAAAATAAAAAATATAATCATTTAAAATATTTTTATAAAAATAATAAAAATTAATATATATAGTTTTTTTTTAGTAGTTAAATAATCTTAAAACACGGCCAGCGAGGCAGTTAGCGAGGCAGCGGCAGACCGCCGCCGGCTCGGTATCGCGCCGGCTCGGTGTCCGATTACGTTATATTGAATAATATTAGCTGATAATTAGAGCTAAAAAAAGTAATTTCCTACTATGGTTTTTTGGGGCCTTGACCTATAAATCTAGGAATGAAGCAATTAGCCACTAGTATAAGAAAGAACTATGGATTTTAAGGTGGGTATCATACTTTGTCGTGCTGTATTGTACAGGTAATATATTGTACGTCCCCGTAACTTTATCGCGGCCTGCTTAATAAACTTATTATGCTAGGGCCTTGGCAGTGGGTCACAAAAATATTAATATTGTGTTTGTTGGTCAAGGCAATTTTGAGATCCTCTATATTTTGAGCTTCCCGAATCCTCATTAACTTTTCTGTTGCCGAAAGTAATCGTAATCTTCACTAACTCCGACCCCCGACCCCCGACATCTCAACCCTGCCATTCCATCTTACTAAACAAACTCCCCCCACTCTCGCTATTATTCGTCTCACGCTCTACGGAGTTACCTCCGTACATCCCACAGTTTCCTATAACTCTCCGACCTCTCCGTACACTCCATGCACTCCGTAACTAACCTACACCGACATGAAAGGCCGCGCGGCCCGCTACTTATGCCGTGACCCTGGTCTGAGAGAGGGATAGTTACCTCATGATAGATGAAGATCGTCACTTTGTAACCCCTCTGATGATTAGGAAATAGGTGAGATAATTTCGCTATAAAAGCCCCCGCCTTGATGAAGGTCGACATGTAAGACCTGCACCGGCTACGGACTCCTATCGAGCAAAATCTTTCTGTGCACCTCCTTTTGTCCCGAAGGCGAATCTTCTCCAGAATGCGTTCCCTCATCTGCGGGGCGTTCCTCCTGGCCTCCAGTCTGGCTACGGCAGCGGGGTCTGCCATGCCTAGGGTCACCTTGGACTACTGTACCGTTGAGGCGGCCATTGGCAACGATACACTGGGCTTCTATCGCTACCAAAACATTCGGTTCGCCGCCCCCGTCACCGGGGACCGGCGATTCGCCAAACCTGAGTTGCCGTTGGTGGAGACGGAGATAAACTACGGTGATATCGTCTCCGAGTCGATCGACTGCAGCACCAGTGAGGACTGTCTGTTCCTCGACGTCTGGACGCCCGCCAACAGCACCAGCAAGAAGCTGCCTGTGTTGATGTATGTCTACGGGGGGGGCTTCACCGGAGGCAGCAAGATTCAAAGTACGCCCGAAGGGCTCTTTGACCTCTCCAAGGACTTCATTTTCGTGGCAGCCAACTACCGGTTGGGGGTGACGGGGCTCCTCAACGGGCCGTCCTTCCAGCACGAGGGGGGAGCCGCCAACGCTGCCGTCTGGGACGTCACTCAGGCGCTGGAATGGGTCCAAAAGTATATCCACGCGTTTGGGGGAGATCCCTCTGCGGTCACTCTGTCAGGCTTCTCCGCTGGAGCGTCCCAGGTCATGTTCCAGATCACAGTGGGTTTTGTCTCCGTTTCAGCGGGATCGACGGAATCACTAACAGTAGTGAACCTGTTTTGCGACGATTTAGCGCTTTAGCGGACGTGCCCCACAACTCTTCAAGCAGGCCTACATCATGTCTCCGGGTTACGTGCCTGGGGCCGGTCACCACCAGGCCGAGGTGAGCCTTCTTTGCTCTCTACCCTTTTTTTTTCCCTCCTGTTTTTTCGCTTTGCTATCAAATACGAGGTTGAAAGAGAGAAATTTCGACTCACACTTAACACCTCCATACAGGACTACTATCAGAATGTCTCCACCGCGGTGGGCTGCCCCGGCGGTGACATTGGCTGTCTACGGGCCGTGAACTTCACCACATTGATGACCATTGGCAGCGAGGTAGCCAGCAATTACAGTTACCAGTTGCAGCCGCGCGCTGACGGTGCCATCGTGGCCGATACCTGTACGCATCAAACATCCCCCCCCATCACCAGTCCATCGATCGCTTTCACTAATTCGATCCGCCAGACGAGGCGCAGCTCTACCAGAAGAACTTCAACTTCTCGGGGCCTCTCGTGATCTCCCATGAGCGTCACGAGGAGAACAGTCAGAACTCCAGCACGGTGACCAGCGAGGCGGACATCGCCGCCGAGCTGCAGATGTACTTCCCCTCCATCACCGACGACGTGATCGAGGAGATTCTGAAGTTGTACCCCGCCCACCGCTACCCGGCCGCAGGCTACCGGTTGGCAGATATCCGTCAGGGGTTCGACATGACGGGCAAGAATCTCGCCCTGACCCAGGCGCTGCACAACGAAACCTGGAACGCGATCGTCAACCTGGGTGACGCCACCCACGGCACGGACCAGTACTACTACTGGTACAGCACTTACAGCACCGTCCCCTCCAACGGGCTGACTTCATCAACCTCGACCTCGGTGAATGTTACGATTGCGGTAGGTTTTCCTTTGGTACCCAGAGCACGAGCGCGGTTGGCTGATGCTCTTCGATTCCCAGCGCACGATGCAAAAGTATCTTTTGTCCTTCGTCCTGACCAGCAACCCCAACACTTTGTGGCCACAGGATAAGATCTACTGGCCCAAGTATGGGAACATGACCAACACTCTGTCGTTCAACACTACCATGTCGGTAACGACCGATGATCTTGCTAATGATAAGAGTTTGTTCTGGAACAAGGTGCTCTGGTACTAGGGCAATGACACGTGGGGGGGATGCATGCGGTGACAATGGGAACGTTACGTGGCATAGGAGTTGGATTGGTGGCTGGGTTCGTCGAGTGGGGGGACGGGTGAGACGCTCGAGTAGAGTAAATTCAGACACGGCGGTTCACCGGTGAAAGGAGACATGCGTAATTCTTAGAGTAGCAGAGCAGCGGAGAAATTGATAACACTCTTCGCAAAATGAACAGGGTGAAGAAAGTCAGTCGCTTTGGTTGTGATACCAGTCTGCATCTTCATCGACTTGCCTGAACGGGAAAACGAAGAACTTGTACCTGATAGGCAGGAACTCCAGCTAAAGAGTTCAACCGGTAGAAGATAATGCAAGAATAGATCGCCCACATGATCGTCATTGAGTACACATTATTAATGAAAATCCCGTCTGGCAGACTGGGTAATTACCGAGCTCCGTGGGATGAACAGCAGTGCCAGAGAGATTATCGTACCATCCCCGGACCCAACCCGGAGACCGGAGCAGAAACTTCGGAGCAGAGTAAACCAGTAACTATTCCAGTGGATTTACCCACCACAAGCATATTAATTCGAGAGACGGTAACAGATAGATTGCAGGATCAGTAGTCGTGCGGCAGGGTTTGTTTGTAGTTTTATTTTGTGGGAGGTTTATTTTAAGTTTTTATATATATCTTTAAAGTAATTTCAATTTCTTTTTACTTTTTACTTTTTGCTTTTTTATATTCTTTATTTTATTTTTTTGTTGGGGTTCTCCTTCGCAGTCGAACCTAACGATTCTCGAAACTTGCACACGTCATCTATTCTGCCCTATCTGCTACTTAAACCTGCCAGGATCCCCGCCTCCAGCATAACTCGTCTCTTCTTCACTCCCGTCGTTCTCTTGTCTCTACATCTTTGGAGTTTTAGTGAATCTACTGTGTGATATCAGGAATGATTCCCCACGTCCTTGTTTCCGGCTTGGCCGCCTCTGCCCTGGTGAGCGGAGCGCTGGCGAGCTCGGCCCCGATTGTCAAGACCAGCTACGGTAAAGTGCTGGGCACCACCTCGGAGTATGTGGATGGGATCAACGTCTGGAAGAACATTCCCCATGCGGCACCCCCGACTGGGGAGCGTCGGTTCAAAGCCCCCGTGAAGCCCTCCCGCTGGGACGGCGTGCGGAATGCGACTGTCTTCGGCCCACAGTGCATGCAGCCGAACACGGGCTCGTCGATCTTCACCATCGGCAGCGACTACATGAGCGAGGACTGTCTGTCGGTCAACATCTGGGCCCCCGCCAATGCGACGGCGGGCGACAACCTCCCGGTCTACATGTGGATCTACGGTGGTCGATTCTACGTGGGCTCGAACGACGTGCCCACCTACGACGGCGCCTCGCTCGCCTCGCAGGGGATGATCGTCGTGACCATCAACTACCGTCTGGGAGTCCTGGGTTTCATGGCGCACCCGGAGCTGTCGGCCGAGGCTGGGGCCCATAACAGCTCCGGCAACTACGGTGTGCTCGACATGATCTCGGCGCTGGAGTGGGTGCACGAGGAGATTGCCCAGTTCGGCGGCAACCCCGACCACATTACCGTCGGGGGCCAGTCGGCCGGCTCGTCGGGGGCGCTGGACATGATGTACAGCCCTTTGACGGAGGGGCTGGGGGTGGTCGGCGTCATTGCTGAGACGGGCGCCCGCGGCGTCCGTGACCCCATGATGGGGGGCGCCTCGACCAGCTACCGCCAGAAGGAGAACGCAGAGAACTACGGCCAGATCTTCCTAGAGTCGCTCAACATGACCTCGATCGCTGAGCTGCGTGCGCTCAACGCTTCGGATCTCACTTCCTACGGCTTCTCCAACGGCATCTGGTACGAGCCGACTCCCTACGTCAACATCACCGCCTTCATGGAGCCCCCGGAGTGGCGCCCCGTGCACGACGGCTATGTCTTGCCCCTGGGCTACGGCGAGTCGCTCCGCCAGAACAGCCATCGTGATGTGCCCATCCTGACAGGCAACAACAAGGATGAGTCCGGGGCCGAGGAGACCCAGGACTACACGCTGGCCAGCTTCAAGACCGACTTCGACAACCTGTTCAGCTACGGCACCAAGCAGAACCTAAGTGCTCGCTTCTACGAACTGTACCCCGCCACCACCGCTGACGAGGCCGACGACGCGGTCAACGAGTTCTACCGCGACCTCAGCCGCACCGGTACCTGGGACTGGGCCCTGGACTGGGCTAAGGGAGGCGCCCAGAGCGACGTCTACACCTACTACTGGACCCACGCCCCGCCCACCGAGGGTAGCGGCGGCGCCTTCCATGGCTCCGAACTCTACTACGCCTTCCACTCCATCCCCTACGGCGCCACCACGGCCAACTGGACCTCCACCGACTACGCCATCGCCGACCGCATGCGCGCCTACTGGGCCAACTTCATCAAGACCGGTAACCCCAATGGCGATGGTCTGCCCACCTGGGACCCCAGCAAGAAGAACGCCACCACCATGTGGCTGGGTGACTCCTGGGGCATGGGCGCTACCGCCGAGTCCCAGGCCCGTATCAACCTGATCCGGGACTGGTTCAGCTACAATGTCGAATGGTAAGAGCAGGACGTCAGACGGCAGCAGCAGTAGCAGCAGCAGGCTCGGAGATTGTACATTAGTCCCTACTTTTTTAGCATCGACTCCAAGTATATAGTCCAGCATCCAACCCTAGAATCCATTATTATCAACAATTGTTCTTTGCCACTTTTTTGATGTTTTTTTTTGGGGGGGGGGGATGGACGGACCTTGGATTGCCAAAGTCAAGAAGCCCGAAATCCCCGGGGAAAGTTACCCACGACGTCGTACACCGCCACCAAGCATACGTACCGTACCACTCTTCCCTACGCAGTCATTGCGGCTTACTATACATTACATGCCCCACAGCAGCCCGCAAACCTAGATTTACACTATCTGACGCGTGATCTTGATCCCCAGGGCAAGGCTGTAAGTGGTTTGGCCGTTAAAGTTAGCTGGGCAACGTATGTTTCGCCGCCATCAGGAAAATGCAAGTAACTTGAAGGGATATTGTCGGCAGAACTAGGGATTCAAGCCATGTATCAAGTAACCTTATCTTTTGAAGTCGTTATATCGTTATATTCTACTCTGTACATAGAAGATATTCAATGAATTAAGTTGAAGACCTGCAATCAATTGACTCGTCCGAGGGGTACCCATCGTGATTCGGACACCACAACACTGCCACTGCAGTGAACAAGAGGTCAATTTGAGGGTGCGATCAGCAGAGGAGGATTCCGTTTTCTCGTGCAGTTTTTATATACGGGATATAGTTATATATATATATCTGATTGACGATCGGCCAGTACGTGAAGATTTATATATGTCCATGTTTCTAGTATATGTTGCTTACTTTTTCGACACATTCGTTCGAGTACTACTACCATGTCATAATTTAAGATATGAGGTCACCTTTGCAGATTGATCATCTCGATATGGGGTTTTATGGCTTTTTTGTTCTATCGTAGATCATTGATGAGTGAATTCAGTAAAAAAGTCAGAGCCCCAAGGATACTCCGTACTGTTGACAGAGTCTCTGTTTGTACAGTACAAACAAGGATCTAGAGAAAGCCAGAGTAGTAAGTACCCGCTTGCGCAGAACATTCCCCCTAGTCTACAGTTACTGGCGATAAGCTTTCTGCAATTCCTGGCTTGCTCGCTATAACAGGTATATCCCAGTCTATATCAACTCATCGGGAGAAGTTGTTGAACAGTTGCGTATACGCGTCACATCGTAACCTTCGGCAAAGCGAGGTCTCCTGATATGTGATAAAGCGCCGTACCACTAGCTTGTTAAGCTGCTGATTTCCGGATCGGCTTCCTGCAATGAAGCTTTCAGCTGTTTCGCCTTGCCTGACCTACGGCTTTCCACCCCTTGCAAGCCGGATATTGACCGAGATTCTTAAATCTCTGTGTCCTACTTTTCGCCGAGGATTTCCAACTCAAAACAGTACTATGTCCGACCAGACTGCCGTGGGATATTCATAGAAAACACATTTCCCATTCAATGGCATGTACTCCGTAGTCACCTCCGACGCCGGTGTATAGAGGCCGCCGACTGCAAAACCCACCTCTCCTGCACGAGCGGTCTCGGATAGAACAGGCTCCCTTGGCAAGCGACAACACAGCATCTTTCGAGCACCTTATCTCAATCAAAGCCTGTCTAGTCGTACATCCACCCATGCCCTTCGTCATTTCCGTGTGACTGAGCACCGGTTGACCGCGCGTCGTCTCTACCAGTGGTCCTTTTGCTCATTGGCGGGACACTGAGACGCTAAGTGCTTGGGCGTGCAGAAGCTGCAACTAGGTACGGAGGAGGGTGGTGGTTGTATACAGTGGAACGTGGACCGAATTTTGGTTGATTAACCTGACTCCGTACTGCTGTCTGCAATATGGAGATCGTAATATAATACTATTCCTACGGAGTATCCTGGAGTAGTATCAACTGGATCCAGGATAGGCATCTGATGTGTCGCCAGCCGGAGGTCGGGGGGTTTGTCTGCTGCCTCCCCCGCCTCCAAATCTCTCCCCATCGCGGGGGCAGGTTTGACCTTATCATCTTGCTTTCGGGAGAAAAGTCCGCCTGCTGCGAACGCGAAAAGCCTCACGGTCGCCGAGACTCGCCAAAATCCGGTTTGTCCCGCTGTCAACGCGAGTTAACTTCCAGCGATTGTTGTGCCAGAAGACCCGTCCGGAGCGAAAATGTCCGCCATAATTTGGCCCTAAGACCGGAGTCCGAGCTGATGCATCGTATGGTGCAGGCTGCCCGTCTCCCCACTCTTTCGGTTTTGGCTAAGTTCAAGATCATCAAATCAACCCTACCTGCGACAATCACTCATCCATTTTCTCACCACTCTAGGGGAATCCTCAGACCGCCCGTCACCGCGCGTCCAAGGCCTGCATTTGTTACAATCCCTGTCGATCCTTTGAATGCCCGCAGAGGCAAGTCTCTCCTCGTCCTCCGACCTCCGATGGATACGTGACAGAGGGTGATATGGCTTTTCACGATATAAACTCCGGAAGCAATAAACAGCCCTGCACGATCCTGACTCTTTTCTTTCTCATCATTGTTCTACTTCCTTCCCTTGCTTTCCGGTTGCAATGATGTACAGGGCTTTTGTTGTCCTTGGGGCCGCGGCCACTGCGGCGGCCACTGCGCTGGCCACCACCACCACCACCACCTTGGAGGAGGCTTGCACGACCGCAAACGCCAAAGCTGCAATCCCCGCCGATGGCATCCTCTCCGGCATCACCTTCAACACGTCCTCGATCTCCGTGGCGGTTACCAAGAACTCCTCCGTCACGGGCACGGACTACCCCTCCGCGGTCATTGACTACTGCTCCGTGACCTTCAGCTACTCCCACCAAGGCGCGGGAGATTCGGTGCAGCTTGAGCTGTGGCTTCCGGCCCCCGAGAACTTTGCCAACCGATGGCTCTCGACTGGGGGTGGGGCCTTCGCGATCAATTCCGGCAGCAACTCGCTTCCCGGCGGAATCATCTACGGTGCGGCCGCCGGCATCACCGACGGCGGATTCGGCAGCTTCGACAACGAGCTCGACGATGTCTTTCCGCTCGGCAATGGTACTGCGAATTGGCCGGCCGTGTACATGTTCGGGTATCAGGCCCACCATGAGTTGTCCGTCATTGGCAAGGCCTACGCGCGGAACTTCTTCAACATGACGGCCACGGACAAGCTCTACAGCTATTACCAGGGCTGCTCGGAAGGTGGCCGCGAGGGCTGGAGTCAGCTGCAGCGGTTTGCGGACGAGTGGGATGGCGCCGTGACCGGCGCCCCCGCCTTCCGCTTCTCGCAGCAACAGATCAACCATATGTTTCCCCCGGTGGTCGAGAAGACCTTGGGGTACTACCCTCCTCCCTGCGAGCTGGAACAGATCATGTACGAGACCATTGACGCCTGTGATGCCCTGGACGGTCGCAGCGACGGCGTGGTCTCCCGCACCGATCTGTGCAAGCTGAACTTCAATCTCACCTCCTTGGTCGGCACCCCATACTCGTGCAACGTGTTGACCGGCAACGAGCCGGCGCAGAACGGGACGATCACGGCGGAGGGTGTTGCTGTCGCCGAGACCATCTTCAAGGGGCTGCACGACTCTGAGGGCCTTCAGGCCTACCTCTCCTTCCAGTACGGAACCTCGCTCGACGACGCCACCACCACCTACGACGAGACCACCGAGAGCTGGGGCCTCTCGACCGGGGTGAATGGGGGCACCGAGTGGATTGCGCGCTTCATCGAACTCCAGGACTCGTCCAACCTGGATTGGTCGAACTTCACCTACGACACCCTGCGCGACTACATGTACGCCGGCTGGCAGATGTACGAGGACACGCTGCAGACCTCGTGGCCGGACCTCGAGGCGACGCGCGACGCGGGCGTGAAGATCCTCCACTTCCACGGGGAGTCTGACCCCAGTATCCCCCCGGCTTCCTCGGTGCACTACCACGAATCGGTCCGCCAGATTCTGTACCCGGGGCTATCCTTCAACGCTAGCACCAGCGCGCTGAGTGACTGGTACCGCCTGTTTTTGATCCCCGGGGCGGCCCACTGTGCCGTCAATCCCTACCAGGATGGCCCCTGGCCGCAGACCAACCTGGCCACGCTGATTGCCTGGGTGGAACAGGGGGTGGTGCCGGAGCGGTTGAACGCAACCTACACCACCGGGGCGGATGAGGGCAAGAGCGCCGAGATCTGCGCCTGGCCGCTGCGACCTCTGTGGTCCAACAACGCGACGACTTTCGACTGTGTGTATGACCAGGCTTCCATCGATACCTGGAAGTACACCTTCGACTCCTACAAGGAGCCCTTGTACTGATGATGATGGATTGGCAATCGGACTGAGGAACGGTCAACCTGCCGTCTCCGAAAGGAACTAGTGTAGAATGGATCCAAGGCAAATTTTTTTTTTTGATTAGTTGATTAGTTGATTTTGATTTGTGTCATAATCATGAGCTACTGATAATTTTGATACGGGTAACTCCAGTTCTTTCATTCTAAATCTTAACTTAAAATTTGCAGGAGCCCCTTAGCCGTTTGCCGTTTGAAGATCACCAACATAATCTGACGGGGAGGGGGGAGGGGGAGGGGGGAGGGGGTAAGATAACGGAGTAGATCACGGAGTAACTACTGTGGTTGACCCTGTTGATTTTGTTAGTACTGTGGAGAGGTGCAGGGATTCGATTTTTTTAAGCGGTAAGTCTCTTATTCAACACCGCCTTCTTTATTAAACCACCAATAAAATCGGATTTTTGAGACTAATATTATCTAAATAATCTTAGACTTTTTTAAACAGATCTACGTAATATACAAAGCCGGTAAAGAACTTAATAAAATATATTTTCATATAAGTCTATTATATAAGTATAGCTGAATATTTTAAATATTCTTTTATAATAATTATAAAGAATTATATCCTTTTCAAAAGAAAAAAAGTAGAGTATTAACGCTGAATAATATAGTTAATAGATTATTTTTATAATTAACAGCTACATATATTTAATTCAGCGGAATAAACAGCTACGGCTTTATTTAATATAAGATAAGATCCCAGATTATACGAATAAGAATATAATCTAAAAACTATAAAAAGTAAGGATTTTTTTAATTATTTGGCCTGCTTTTTCGCCGGATCTTAATCTAATTAAAACTATTTAAAATTGAATAAAAAATTAGTTTAACTAATTTTTTTAATAACGAGCAATTATTATATAATCAGTTATGGGAGGTTGTGCAAGCTGTTTAAAATATTTTACTGTCTGATTTTTTAAATAAATTAGTTATAAGTATAAAAAAATGTGAGGCAGTTATCAACACCGAAGATGGTTATATCAAATATTAATAATTATATATACGGCAGAATCTAAAGAAATCGAATCCCTGCACCTCTCCACCGTACTAACAAAATCAACGGGGTCAACCACAGTACGGAGTGGCTAAAATTCGTTGACGGTGAGCCATAACGGGGATCATTCATCAATGGTGGCAAGAGGGGCGGGGGGAAGAGAGGTTAGTCTGCTGTTTGGCCAGACCCCCTGCAAAATAAACAGTGCTAAGCGGGTTACGAATACGAGACAAATTTCCCTATACAGTTAGAGGAGGAGTGGCGGAGTGCACGAATCAGGACCTCGTCGAGGCGTTTTAGCACGGCGTAAAGAGGTTAAGGATAACTACTAAGTTACTAGTTACAATATCCACTAGTTAGGCTTAACACTGGAATGTGCACGGATTAATCTCAGTCCGCGTCATCTCTTTTTCTCTCTCGGAATTTGCCGGGGCAGAAGTTGAGACGCGGGCTGCCCAGGGGTGGTGCTGTGCATACCAGATACCACAGTATGGAGTAGACTGTGTCACAGGTATTGCCAGAAAATGAAATGCCGTGTATGGCGTACGTATTTAGGGTACGGAGGAGTTCGAAAAACGAGGATCTTTGCCACGCCGGGTCTAAACAGCGGGGCCACGACGCGTTTTAACTCCAGTGGACCCCGGCCGCTAACTTAAGCATCTCCCTTTACGTCATTCCTCTGCAGGCAGTGCAGTTGACTGACTTGTGGACGATTCTCAACTTGCCACCCACCAGGGGAGGATCGTAAGTAATTGTGTTCCGTGCCTATTGTACCCTGGAACCGACTGAGCGAGAGGCGGATCATCTGTCGCGGTCGTGAAGAGTCGATGACTATTGACACGAACAATCCCAGCTAGTGTTAGTAGTAGTAGTTGTAGTGGTAGGGGTAGTAGTAGTAACTAGGAGTAGTAGTATTTTGAAACCTTCGCCAGACAAAGAACTACTGAGTGGGGGAGTCGATACGCGTTTAAATTAATTTGAAGGTGTCGAAAACCAGTTCCCCACTCCTCAAACAACTCTGCAACCTCGTCAGTCTTCAAAGGTTCATGGAAAGTTCATGCCTAGCATCGGAGGTGGGATGCGCCAAGATGGCCGTTGTCCGACGGTATCCCGAGAAGGCACTCGAGGGAAAGAGTAGGCATGGAACTTGGAAGATATGCCGATGGAGCTAAAATTGAGTCTAGAAGAACGGGAGTAGGTTCAGCCAAATGACCTTGGCTCCGGGGACGCGATTAAGGCAGAAGCTCATGGGGAGACGTACTCCGTAACACTGGATCCGATTTCTTCACCTTCCGGAGATTGAGACCCCGGGAGAGACCACCACCCCCACCACCAATCACCGTGTGAAGATCCTCAATGCGGGAGTGAGAGGAGTAGTATGAGCAGAAGAGGTTCAATTTAAAAGGAAAAGGGATTCCCGCCCTTTCACGCTCAGGACTGGCAAGCCATTCATCCACTCATTCGTTCGATACGCTGATCACTCGTTCATTCTAATCATCAGATTCTTTCATCACCTGCTTCTTCCTCTTCTTCTTCTTCTTCTTCTTTTTCTTCTGCCTCCAGCATGCGCTACCCCACTTGCGGCAGCGTCACCCTTGCGGTGCTCGCCGCCAGCAGCCTGGCGAAAGCCCGCTCTATCGCGCAATTGTGCACTGTCTCGAATGTTCAAGCCTCCCTCCCTGCCAATGGCACGATTTTGGGTATCGAGATGCTCCCCTCGACGGTGACTGCCAACACCGTCTACAATGCCACGGCGGGATCGGGCCCTGGCGGCTCGACCAGCACCTCCTCTGCCACCTACAACTACTGCAATGTCACCGTTGCCTACACTCACACGGGTCGTGGGGACCGCGTCGTGCTCGAGTATGCGTTCCCCGCCCCGAACACCTTCCAGAACCGTTTCTTCGTGGCGGGTGGTCAGGGTTTCTCCCTGGCCACCGACGCGACGGAGGGTCTTCCGTTTGGCGCGGCCTCTGGGATCACGGATGCGGGATACGATGCCTTCACCACTTCCTACGACGAGGTCAACCTGTACGGCAACGGCACGATCAACTGGGATGCCGCCCACATGTTCGGCTACCAGGCCCTGGGTGAGATGACCAAGGTCGGCAAGGTGATGACCACTGGGTTCTATGGTCTCGACAGCAAGCCTTACACCTACTACTACGGATGCTCCGATGGTGGGCGCCAGGGCATGAGTCAGGTTCAGCGCTGGGGCGATGAGTACGATGGTGTCGTGGCGGGCGCCCCCGCCTTCCGCTTCGCCCAGCAGCAAGTGAACCACCTGACGGGTGTCACCATCGAGCAGACGATGGACTACTACCCGCCTCCCTGTGAGCTGAGCAAGATCGTCAACGCGACGATTGCCGCTTGCGACGCCCTCGACGGTCGCACCGATGGGGTGGTGTCCCGCTCCGATCTCTGCATGCTGGAATTCGATCTGTCCTCTATTGTTGGCGAATCCTACTACTGTGCGGCCCAGAGCTACACCTCCCTGGGCTTCGGCTTCAACAAGCGTGCGGATGGGAGCTCTACCACTTACCAGCCGGCGCAGAACGGCACCGTCACCAAGGAAGGTGTGGAGCTGGCCAAGGCCTTCTACAAGGGTCTCCACAACTCTAAGGGCGAGCGCGCCTATATCTCCTTCCAGATCGCTGCCGAGATGTCGGATGCCGAGACCGAATACGATTCCTCGACCAGCAGCTGGGGGCTGGATATCCCCTCGACCGGTGGCGAGTACGTGGCCCGCTTTGTCGAGCTTGTCGAGGCCGACAATCTCTCCAACCTGGACAATGTGACCTACGACACCCTGGTTGATTGGATGAACACTGCGATGGTGCTGTACATGGACAGTCTTCAGACCACGGTTCCCGATCTGACCACCTTCAAGTCTTCGGGGGGTAAGCTGCTGCACTTCCACGGCGAGTCCGACCCCAGCGTGCCCACCGCGTCTTCCGTCTACTACTGGCAGTCTGTCCGCGAGGCCATGTATGGGCTCGCCCGCTCCTCTACCAAGGACCTCACCGAGCTCGCCGAGTGGTACCAGCTCTACCTGATCCCCGGAGCCGCTCACTGCGGAGCCAACGACCTGCAGCCCAACGGACCCTTCCCGTCAATGACCACCTTGGTGGAGACCATGATCGACTGGGTCGAGAACGGCGAGCAACCCGCGCGTCTCAACGCTTCCGTCTCCTCCGGCCCTTACTCGGGCGAGGTCCAGCGTCTCTGCCAGTTCCCTAAGCGTCCCCTCTGGAAGAACAACAAGAACGACTTCGAGTGTGTCTTCGACGAGAAGTCCTACGAGTCCTGGACTTACTCCTTCCCCGCCTTCAACATGACCGTCTACTAAACAGGTGTGGGGAAAAAGGGGGTGATTGGGATTGTCTCGGGGTCGGAATGGAATGGCGTTCATTTCCTTTCCCTTTCGAATCTGTCCTTGTGGTTCCAACCTTAAGTCTTTCAATTTTTTGCCTAGCGCACCGGGAAAAGAGCCCCCTTTCTCCTTTCTTTTTTTCTTTTTTGTAACCATAGCTTTTGTAGTCTAGTCCAATCTGATACTCTCTTCTAAGAAGAATGTAAATCTACTGTCCTCCTGAAATGGTTTCCATCAGCGGTAATTTTTTTCTTCTAATAGTGATTTTGAGGAAATGATATAAGTAATGACTGGCCCGAGTTTCGTTTTCAAAGGAGAAAAGGAGTTCACCAGATCCTCGAGGGGGGGAGGGAGAGGCCAGAGCTAACGAGTTACTTTTGAACATACTTTGAACAACACGGGGAAATTACGACCGCAGTTTTCACTGGTCAATCATTGGTGAAGCATGTACAAATTCTCGGCATAACGCGGGTTTGAAATAAATGCAAGCAAAAAAACACATCTCTATTCTCAAAAAGGTTGGGCCTCCATCTAGATGGAGCCACCCCCTTACCCCCTCCCCTCTTCCCCCGAGACGGTTGGGAAAACGCATGCACCACCAAGCCCTCCAGCACTCCTTCCAATCCAAGTCTACAACACCCGGTTGGGAAGATACAGGGGCATCGAATCCTCCCACAGTGAGTCCGTCAACATGCGCTTGTTGGATCCGTCCGCCTCCATGATCATGATCTGCCCGTAGGGCTGGAAGGTGTTATCGTAGAGGGCGCACTCGGAGCGGAATCCCCACATCCCGGTCGACCACATGATCTGACCGTCCTGCGACCAGACGGCGTGGGCATCGTTGCCCCCACTGGTGGTCAGGACGCGCAGATCGGTTCCGTCGGGGCGGATGGTGCACACCTCGTAGTTGTAGGAGTTGGTCTTGCGGGTGAAGAGGATGCGTTCGCCGTCCGGGGAGTAGGCAGGCAGGTTATCCCACTCGGTGGTGATAACGGTGACGGCGCGGGTCTCGAGGTCGAGCACCCGAAGGCCGATCTCGCTACTGTTGCCGTAGGTGGCGGTGTCGGCGCCCCAGACGCGGTAGACGACCTGCTTGCCATCGGCGGAGAAGCTGGGGAAGCCGCTGTTGAGGGTAGTGCTGTTGGTGATGCTGTAGGCGCTATCCACAATGACCTCAGAGTAGGAACCGTTGGCCGTGGCGCGCACGATCCAGCCCCCGGAGGCCTCGCGCGTCTCGAACCAGAAGCCGACGCCAAACACCAGCCACTCCCCATCCGGGGACCAGTTGGGGTTGAAGGCCGCCAGCCCGGCCGTCTCCGAGGCGGGCAGGAAGTCCGCCGTGCTAGGGTCGTAGACAAGCTGCAGGTCCTCGCCGTGCGGATTCAGCGTCACAATCGAGGAGTTGCCCAGCTGCTTCTGCGTGATCACGATGCGGTCGTTTGAGCTCATCTGCGGGAAGACATCCGTGAAGCGGTACTCCCACTCGGGATCCCAGCTGTACAGCTGCTTGTAGCCGGGGCGGATCGACCAGGTCGTCTTCTCGTACACCACCTGCTGGCCGTCCGGGGACCACGAGGGCGAGCGCAGGGTGATGCTGCTGTTGGTGCTGTTGATCCAGTGGCCCGCCGTGGTGGCCACCCCGTCCCGGCTGCCGCGCATCGAGTAGCCGATAGTGTTGTTGGGGAGATATTGAGGGAAGGTCAGCACGGAGGCGGCGGCCACCTCGACGCGGCGGTCCTGCCCCGTGGCAAAGTCCACCGACACCAGGGTCGAGTTCGCCTGGCCCACGGTCTCGGGCCGGTGCGAGTTGTAGGTGTTCTCGCGGGTCATCTCGTAGAAGATCACTCGCTGGCCGTCGGCCGACCACTTGGGCGAGCCCAGGGAGTAGTGTGGCTTGGTGGCTAGCCGCCGGAAGCCCGTCCCGTCCGCGCGAATCACGTAGATGGAGAGCTCCTGGGTCGTTTCCCACCCCGTCAGCCCCAGGTAGGTCGGCTCGCCGTGGCCCGACCACTGGGTGTTGCGATCGGACGAGAAGGCGAGCCACTCGCCGTTGGGGGACCACGCCGGACGGAGGTAACTCTCCATCATGGTCTGGTTCGCCAGGGGCACGTACGCGGTGTTGTTGGTCAGGTTCCACGAGTGGCCGGTCTTCACATCCAGCAGCCAGATGTTCGACTTGAATCCGTTGGCGGTCGAGACGAAGGCAGCCAGACTGCCGTTGGGGGAGAGCACTACCGAGTCCTCCACCGCTGGTGTCGCCAGGAGCTCCTGGAGGTCGGTGCCATTGGTACGCACCCGGTAGATATCCGAGTTGCCGTCGCCGTTGCGTTCGCCCGTGAAGGTGATCCATTCCCCGTCCGGGGAGAAGGTGGCATGGTATTCGTAGATCGGGTCGGACAGCAGGGGTCGCTCGTTGCTGCCGTCCGCATTGGCAATGTACAGCTCCGAGGTCCCCGGGGCAATGCGGTTCATCATGAAGATGCCTTTCTGAGTGGCATTGGTGGACCGAATGTGAGCGGAGTGGGAGGCACGATCCGGAGCCGCGAAGCTGCGAGAGGCATGAGCCGCATGGGCTTTGGCAATGTCCTCGGGGGTCATTCCAGCTTGTCGGCTCGCATACGGACAGCCGGCGAGGACTGGGGCAATGGCCCAGCCTAGCAGGGGGAGTAGGGGGAGATGCATGATGTCTGAGAGAGAGAGAGAGAGAGAGAGGTGCGAGAACCTGTTTCCTGGACGAGATTACTCTGCTGGATGATTTCCCTCAGGCGGACCTCGCTCTCACACTCTCTTTCTCTCTCTCGCTGTCACCCAGAATTTGGAAGCTATTTAAGCTTTTCGTCTGAGAGGGAGATTACTCGGTGCTTTTATCCGGTTTTATCAGAAATTCGGTCTTGGCTATGATTAATGACCCCCGACCCCGATGCAAGGATAGGCCCTAGATCTCTCGCATCGGGCGAATTCCAAGGGTGGATAAGCCGCTTACTTGGCCCTACAAAGTCCATCCGAAGGGATCATCTCAAGATTGACCAAATCTAGAGTAGGGCAACCTTTACTGATGGGCCCCTATTGGTCAGCACTGGGGCTGGAGGCGATGATTCGGCCTATCCGACGGATGTATACATAAGACAGACACCGTCCTTTTGATGGCATTTGACATCTTCCCAGTTCCCACAGAAGCCGCCAGGAGGCATACATGCGTGACGGACGAATGATCCGTAGAGCGGATTCATAATTAATTGGCTGTGATGGAAGATTGTTACCCTTGGCGTCCCTAAACCATTTGCCCTTCAAATCACATCGTAAATGGGCGGCAGGTGCTGTGTACCGACGGAGTCATCGCGATCAATATCGAAGATATTTCGTCAGCTCCCTCGGTTCCGAAAGCAAGCTACTGCACACGCGGAACAATGACCATTGTGCCTTGGTCCTCTTCAACCGGATTCGCTGGAGGAACAAAGATCCTGCATGCAAGAAGGTCGGACATCAGATGCCAAAATCCCTCTGACCTCCGAGAGAACCCGATTACAGATTAGGATCAGCGCCGTCCGTGCCCCTTCGGGATCATATCTTATCAATCGTCAACCTTGTGATTGGCCGACGTTCATTTTTGCCTGAATCCACCAACTCCAACGTATCCTTCGGAATGACTCGTCCGCCAGTGATTATCCCTCCTGATTACATCCGAAGTCACCGCCAGACATTCGCGCGCTAGACTCTGCATCCGATGGCGTTGTCACCAACTACCTTTCTCCTTGATCCTGTGTGTAAACGTGCCTAGGAGGAATTTTCATTGCTACATGGCCAGCTGCTGCCACATTCACCCCGGCTACGCTACCGACACCCCAATTTTCTCGACATTTTCTAGTCCGGATATATGAAGAGCTTTCGGAACTTATCTTTAAGATTGTGAACGAGCTATTTTTTTTTCACCTATTCTGGGTCAATCTATCCAAGATTATGAAATCCTGAAATCTTAAGTTATACGTTAATGTTATGATGATGAGGCACATAAGTGGCGAGTCCTATCGGATGATTGGGTATCGGCTGTGCTGATTAGCAGGAGCTTTAAATGTTGTGACTGGTCGTTCGGATAGTCTTGGTGAGCATAAGATGAATCAGACCAAGGTACCATCTGTCCTTTTTGTCGCTATACATAATACATGCTGCCCCGGCTACTATTCTACCCATCGAGGCTTATAAGATCTTCCTAGCAGCCATGAGTAATTACACGCAGCCCGGCGGCTTCCAAGGCCTTCTAAATAGTTACTGGCTCTGATAAGAGCTAGATAAGGAACAGTTCAACCATAACAAGTAACTATAATACACCTGCTATGCTTCACTTAGAGAAAAACTCATGGGCAGGTCCAAAAGGGGTAATGATCTCGTACTGTATAAGTTTCTGGTAGAATAAGTTTCTGGTAGACTGCCCTGGTTACAGTCACGAATGCTCTTACTACTCTATCCACTTCCTTCCTCGAATGGGTATGTACTGTTTCTATTATCCGAAAATCAAAGAGGGACTCTGCTTCCAGCTCAGGACTGAGTCTCGTAGCCAACTCTGTTCTCAAATATCCCACTTTTGTCGTTCTTCACGGAAATCCCATCGCCGTCTTCCAACACCACAGCCCATACCCAATCGGGGACTGGTCATTGACCAAATCACCATCTGCGTAACCAGTGCTTGATCATATTCCCACTAGTATCCCACCAGTAATCGAAACTCTGCGAACCAAGAATATGCCGGCCCACCCCCCACACCGAAGTATAGCCCTTCTGCGCCAGCCACTGGTGGCCCACCTCCTGCGTATCGAATGTCGTGGATCTCAAAAGATCAGTGACGCCCATGGTCCGTCTGGTTCGCGCTCAAGAAAAATGGGTGGTGGTCGACCGGTTCTGCTCCCCGATCTATGCGGGCGAAGAGCGTCACCTTCTGCCTGTCGGTGTCCTCTTCTCGACGTACGGAAAGTCTGTCGGGACCAGGTTGAAAGTCTGGGTGTAGAAGTCGACTGAGGCAGGAAAATTGGTAGTGCAGAGACCGTGGTGGCCCAGCTGCTGAGTTTCAGTTTGTGTGTGGTGAAAGAGGCAAAATTGAGCGACGCGGGGAATGACTGACCTTGTGGACAGCAAGACATCATACAAGGGATCTTTGATTACACTGCATCATTTCCACGGACATTTTGTGATCCTAATCCACAGCCTTCGAGCTTTTCTTCTACTTCTGGCCTATATAGACCTAAAAAGATAAAGAAAAAGAAAAAAGCAGAAATAAAAAAAGAGTATTCTAGCAGACGGCAAGCGGGGCTGCAGACTCTGTGGATAATAGTAGCACTCTTAGAAAATCGAGGATAGGCATGCCATGGCTACTCGAAGAGGAGGACCTTCTGGTAGAATTGAGGGATACTCGAGGGCTACTTTGGTCTGAGGTCACAGTTTTTCCTCGGATCAGTATCCCGGAAGGAGTCAGGGTTCTATTCAAGTATATTGAGTACGAAACTCAAACGAAGGCAATCGTGACGATGTTTATGCCCCATGTGCCCGGGTTCGTTCCCATTTTATCCTAGACTGGAAAGGATGAGGATTCCGGAACTCGGTCCTCAAAAATGGGTACACTGATATCGGGGATATTCTTCATGCCTTAGGGTTATTTTTTTATCTATTGTTTTAGCCTTAAAACTGTATGGAAAGAGGTGCGTTATGAAGTGGTAGCGAGTGATGTTGCTGAGGTAGATTTTGAGCTTTTCCAAATGCGGACTGATGGTCTACGGCGGACAATAGTATAAAGGGAAAATAGGTCAGTAAGGTATAGATCAGTAGTAGTCTATTAATTTTAAGACTAATTCTTGCTTTTTTTAAAGGTCTAGCAAGGTCCTAAGGATTAAGTACTAAAAAACTCAAAATTATTAATATTAAGATTTTTATACAAAAAATATAAAAATAAGCTATTTTTAATTTATTATATTTCTATAGATTATTTATAAAAATTAGGTTTTCTTTATATACAGCTGTTTTAGCTGTAATAGAATAGCATAATGATATTATTTTAGCAGATAAATTAATTTATTTAATACCTATAATAATAATAAATAAAGTCTAGCCGGGGCTAGTTTCAATTTGTTATGGGATGAACTTAGATTGGTTCTAACCTAAGCCTGCCGTACAAACAAGAAGGAATAGTTAGAGAATAGAAAGGTTGCGGAGGTCCGGTGGGAAGATAAAGAGGCTGCAGTCACGTGCAGCAAGTGTTGCGGGTCTGTCTCGTAACACAATTAGATGTAATTATTATAATCAAATATTATTCTATTTTAAAAATATTATTATTTTTTAATAAGAATATTAATAGTATAATATAGTTTTATATATCTTTTTTAATCTATTAACTTTGTTAATATTCTTTATTCTGTATTAAAAAACTTATATTTTTTTATTATTTTTATTTCTGCTTATTTATTTTATATTTTTTTAATATCGCTAAGACGCTAACAGATTGCTGTGGTTTTATTAATGAATTAGAATATTTATATTATTAATTTTTTTATAAAATTTTTTTTGTTTTAAGATTATCTTTCATTTTAAATATTTAAAGATTTTAGTAAAAAACTATAAACAGAACTTAGCAAAAAAATTTAAATTAAGCTATATTTTAAATATAGTTTTATTTATTAAATATTAATGATACGCGGTACAAAAAGCTAATTATTTTTTAGAAGAAATACAGAAATCGATTATATCTTATACGGGGCCCTAAAAGTTATATACGCAGCAGGATAGCTTTTTCCCGGTCTCAAACAGAAGAGATACAGAATGACAGATGTTTTCTTAGTAATAAGAATCCCGATAGTATATACGCGTACCGTATCTATCAAGTCCTTCCATGGGACCAGGTTAATTGTAGTAAGCAAAACCCGTCTATACTTTGTAATGCTTTTTATAAAGCTCTTTCGCCTTTAGCAGAATTTGTTCTTAGGCTGCGTATCAAGGGCTGGTCCCACTATATCTGATACACTTGTCTGTATTCTAATTCGCTTTAGCTTAGTTAAATAGTTCTCTCGTCATGTTAAAGTACTGTGCGAGCAGAGCTACAATAGGCCAAGGTGTGAATTATCCCGGGCAAGCGAAATAGAGAAATACCCTTAAGCTCAGAGGTTCGAGAGGCGTTTTGAGGAGTGGGTCATTGGCTACAAGTCGCGTGTTGATTTTACTTTCCTAGAATGAACTAATCGTGAATTCTCAATATGACTTTGCTGACAAAGCAGGTGATTTCAAGGCCACAAACAGAGCAAACATGGCTATAAACAGAGAGGCATAACTAGCGGCAACTTGGGCATGGAAATTTACCCTCTAAAGCTCAGCTTTCGCACCGGTCTTGCATCCAGAAGAGTGAGCCCTCATCACCAGGCATAACATTCTTCGTTGCATGGTTCCCTTGTTATTTTACATTTAGTAATGAGTTTTATTTGAATGATCATGTACCGGCCATTGCCTCGACCAACAGTTCCATGTGGAAGACAACACAAACTAGACATGTTTAGGCACGCTATTCCCCTGGTCAAAGCTATGGAAGATGGCTACGGATGACTTCTATAAATTAGCCTATGAGGTCTTTAATCGTACAATTCTCTCCAGTCTCTGTTTGTCTGAAGCATACAGTTGTGTGCGTGCGGGACAGGTTATGGTTGCAGTTTTCTTTTGTTTGCGCAAGACTCTCTAATACCCACGTGACTATGTGCCTTTACTTAAATTCGTAACGTAATTGTCAGCCGAACGAGCCACACAAGCGAGCGAGCCAGCTGTATTTTCATACAAAAGAGCTGATCTTCGAATCTTGATATCTCGACCATGTTTCTATAAAATATTATAAGATACAAGACAGTATATGAAGACCTTTTAAAACAAATATTTCTCTAAAATTTACAAGTTTTGTTCAGTCATCTGTAGAGATATCTTTTGATAAAATACAGTTTTAGTTTATCTCTGTGAAACTTGTATTTCACTAGTATACAATACTTAAAATAAATTTTAACTTGTAAATAACGTATTTGGTAAGCGAGCCGGCCACGTAAGCGAGCCGGCCACTGGCCGGCTTGGCAAGCACCTCTGTATGCTGCCCATATCGGAATTTTGATTTACATACAAAAAATATAGTGTTTTTGAATCTTTATATAACTGTTTAAACGCCTGCAATTCCAATCAATCCTTCCTTGTTAGACACCTCGTACGTGTATGTCCAAGAACACCACATGAACTGCAGCGAGGCGGTGCCCGGCGGCGAGGTTGACCTTCTGCAGGCCCTGTATCACCGGCTGCCTCCTCTGCAGCCTGGGCGTTTGCAAAGGCTTCACGGGCTTCCTGGATTGTGAAGCCATTTAGACCATCCATTTGATACTGATTCCGCCTCTGCTTGGCGTTCTTCCTCTCAACGGCCATACGGAGTTGGCGGTTTTCATGTTCTAAAAGCACCGCACGGTTCAACGCAACTTCCACGCCTTTGACAATATACGATAAGGCATTTTGCATGGGTGAAGCCGGAGGATCAGGCTCTTGAAGCAATTGAGATATCGCCGACTCATGTTTTTTGAATTGCTTCAAGTTTCTAGGTGTTCTGGTGACAGTTGAAGCGGTGCCTTGGCTGCTTGGTCTGCTCTCCTCCCTGTAGAAGATAAAATTATCCAAGACCTTGCTTGGATTAAAAGGAACGATTCCTGACGCCCTAAAGGCACTTTGTATATTCGTTGATTTAAATGCTTGAACGTGGGCGTCTGGGTAAATGTTAAGAAAGTCAATCTTGTCAATATGGTGATATCCAGTTCGTATAAGGTCTTCAATCCGGCGGCTGTACGCTTGCTTTAACGGTGAGAATACAGCTACATCCAATGGTTGACAGAGGTGAGAAGAATTAGCCGGCATGCATATTGAAATAACGTCGTTTTCACGGCATATATCGTCGAATTGAGGCGTTAGATGAGAGTCATGTCCATCCAGAATCAAGAGGCTATATTGCCCAGTTCTCCGGTCCTTGATATAAGGAATAAAGTGTTCCTTAAGCCAGTGTTCACCGATTTCTCGATTAGTCCAACCATTTGGAGATATAGCAATACGCCATGAAGATGGTAGACTGCCTTCATACCATGCCTGTATATGAGTCTTTGCCTTCAATATCAAATATACTGGTAACGCCCATCCAGCGGCGTTGACACACTCAATTGAAGTTATCCATTCGCGGTTTCCAGGCTGTATAAAGAAAGGTCTTCCTTTGCAGAATGAACGTGTCACCACCTTGGCAGTAGCCACCAGGCCCATAGCGAAGCCAGTTTCATCAAAGTTGTAGATATCTGCATCTGCAATTCCGTACGTAGCCACGGCGGTTTGTACGCGTTGAAACCACGCCCGAATAACCTCAGGGTCTTCACACTTCGCACGTTTGTAGTTGATTTGACGAGTAAACCGAGTCTTTAAGGAATCATGCCGGGCGATAAAATTATATACCCATTTCTCTCCCACCAAGGAAGTTGTTTTTTGACCGCGTTTTTGTATCAAAATCGAAGCCATATCACGTATCTGGAGATGCCTTAGCGATGCACCGCGTTGATCCAGTAATATAATCCATTTAACAAGCGATTCCTCCTCCAAAGAAGTCAGTTTATAACCGTTGGCACGTGTCTCTTTGCAAAAGGTGACTCCCTTAAGACGTTCCTGGAAAGTTGAGCGTGGAACGTTGAAAACCGACGCAGCTTTGCAAATTAAAGCAATTTGACCCTTTTAAATAGCCTCAATTACAAGGCACAGTCTGCCTTCTTGTTCCACCGATTCTTTTAATGTTTTAGGCATTTTTGGTGGAGAAATTGATGTTTGAATACCCTCAGTTTCATGGACGTGGTGGTGGTTCAGGGGGTGGCCGGTTCGCTTACGTGGCCGGTTCGCTTACCAAATACGTTACGGCACATAGGTGGTTTGGGCTTCATTTGGAGTGCATGCGCAAGTTGAGTATTCTTCGCCTGACAGCTTTAGCGCCTAAACCGCTCGGACCTCTGACCTTCGACCTCCTACCGGGTCGCGCTCTGTGCCAGTCCGTCGTCGCCTACTAAAGTGTCCCATCACCCTTTGGCCTCCCTTTGGCCTCCCTTTGACTTCCCTTTGGCTTTCCTTTGACTCCCTTTTGACTTCCCTTTGACTTCCCTTTTCCCTTTGGCTTCCCTTTGGCTTCCCTTTGGCTTCCCTTTGGCTTCCCTTTGGCTTCCCTTTGACTTCCCTTTTCCCTTTGGCTTCCTTTAAATTCCTTTCTAAACTATCATTTTCTTACCGTCGACTTTACTTCAACTTTCATCCAACATTACTATCCGCCTCATCGCCATAGCTCCCGATTCCTGCCCACTTACACCTGCCAAACCAGAGCTCTATCACTATAAAAATCACGCTATATAACTTCTGTAAGAAGCTAGCTCAACAGCGAACTAGTCTTTACTATAATAAATAAAATTAATATACCGATTTTATCTCTCAGATATATTACTTTATTTATAATATATTTTCGATGAAAGAACTGAGAAGGGTTAGACACCGTCTTTAAACTATCCGGCAATTAAGTGACTATATTTAAATTCTAATAGCTATTACTTTCACTTTCTCCAATCTTGCATATTTTTGTAACTTTTATAAATACTTAAAAATAATCGACTCTTAGCTGAACAGGTATTTTATTATTTAAGATTAGAATAAAAGTACCCGTGCTAGACTACAAACTTTGGACAATAAGAGGAAGAAAGTAATTAATAATAAAAAGTAGAAATATAATTAAAGTAAAGCTAATATTATTTAGATAGATAAAAATTAGAGAAGAAAATTCCCCGGAGAAATATACTAATAAAGAATTGTATATAACTCCGATTTTTTAATTTTTATCTACTAATATTCTCAGCATTTCCGATAAAAATAAAAAGTACTGATATATTAAATTCTATTTATAGTCTACAGCAAGACAAGTCTGACTGTATAAAAATAAGATTCTAAGTTAATATATTCTCTTAGTCCCAATATTAACAGATATCAATCCGGGAGATAGCGAAAGCGCGAAAGATATTTAAGATTTTCTCTTATCTATAAAATATAAAAACTTAAATCTAAAAAATAGTATGATTTATATTTCATCCGAACACCAGCTATACAAAAAGCTGGAAGGTCTATTTTTAAGACTACTATTTTAGCAATTATTTACTAAACAGCATCCTATTTCTGATAATATATCTACTTCTATAACCGACTTTATTACATCTCTTACTAAAATCAATATTTAACAACTAGAGGCCATCAACTATACTAAAAATACAGCCACGCCCAAAGAAGTACTAATCGCTGAGATAGCCAGATATTTTCAGTTACCATTAATAAATCGCTCGGCGTTAAACTTTCTTAATATAAAAAATTTATGTTTTTTTATATTCCGGTATTTATATATTAATCAGATCTACTTCGAACAGTATATCTCCGCAAGCGGGGATTAATGTCCAAATCTCTAAAAAGTTATAATACAGTTTCTTCAGATCGAAAATTTCTTCTCTTATCCGGCCGTAACTCCGTATTACTAATTTATATTAATACTGCCGGACAGTTAACCTAAATTATCAGAATATCCGGCTGTAAAATCTAATATATATCTAATAATCTTACCTCGGCGGCCAACAGACTCGCAACAGATAAAAGTCAATTTCCAGAATATTATAAAAACAGATGGAGACGTATAATTATTAAATCTAATAATCTTTTATAAATTTCAGATTTTATTCAATCTTTTACTGTAAATTCGAACTAAATCGCAAAGAATTATACTACCAGAATGCCCACATACTATATTTACTCCCAAGAATTCATTTACCATTGGAAGTTACTTTTATATATATTCACATCTTAACACAACAATTTCTACTACCACTCTTTAAGCCCGTTATAGAAGCACTTTCTGCAATAAAAGCTTATTCTTACAGAATTACCTAAATATTATACTAATTCTTAAATAATATAAGAACTTATTCTCCAGTACAGACATAGCACGGTTGGTAGCAAGCAAAGTATATTAAAAGTACACCAATCAACTTAATACTTATATAAAATCAATATCCAGATATGATGCTGAGCATGCAACGGCGAGGCCCGGAGGTGAATCTTTTACTAAGAATAGCAAGAATGGCAGTAAAAAATAAGATAAAACTGCTACTAAGAATACTCCGACCAACAGGAAAGATACTACTAAAAGAGACGTATATATTATATGGCTTCGGATTTTCAATTTTATTCAGCGAGCAAGTACAGAGCTTCAGGTACATTTAATCCAGAGAGATACTTAATAATAAGATTAAAGTACCAGTTATCATTTTCATAGCAACGATACAGGCATTATTCATCAGAACGCTATTATATCTCATATTTCAAGTGACCGACACAGTAAGTCTAATCTACTACATCGTAGGGTTGCATAAGTAAGCCTTTTTATCCTACCCTTAAAATTTTAATAAGCTGCTATACCTTTGGCGACAAGCACTTACTAGACTCATAACCAGAGACTCTATAGTTTTTCTTATTATAAGATATACTCAGAATAATAGTACTGTTTATTTGTGATCCTCATTATACTTATACATCTTAATTTCTGACTGCAGCCGCGCTATACAATCCCCGGCTGAGGAATACTACAATAAAATATGATCCTACAGCAGCTTAATAAGTTTATACTACAAGTAGAACCAAGACGAAACCTAACTCTAATAAGATCATAATAAATCTGTGCTCAATCATCTCTGGACTATAGGACAAAGAATACAGGACAGCTTGTGGATATTGCAGATTGGAATCCTTAACAATTATATTCAGCAACAAGTTGTAGTGTTAAAACTTTTTCAGTCGCTAGTTGAACAGTTGTGCTTAGCCGGTTAGGTCAGTCATTCAACCCGTCCTTTCGACAATAGCTTGGTCGTAAACATCGAAAGTGTGAGCATTATTGGAGTATTGCGACTGGGGACAGACAATACAGCGATGCACTCTGAAAGTGAAAGGTTCGCAGAAGACTAAGAGATCTGAGAATGTTCCATGTTTGCGTATACTTCATCAATCAGATACCGTTCAATTCATCGCGAAGTTTGAGCTTACTTTGATAATAGTAATATTAGAGATTTGAGATCAGCAGCCATTCTTGTCGTGTATGGCTGATAGTGCGCGTCTGGCTGACGCTTCTCCCGGATTATGCATTGGTATAGGCTCACTGCAACGATAAGCTCCATGTTTCAAACAACCCGAAGCTGCTGCTCTTGAATGTTCAACAAAAAGGTATATTACAATGTCACTTGACGCGGTCACTGAGCACGTGACTTGAATGGTGGGGTGCGATGCCTGCTCCATCACATTCGGCAAATGACCTTGAATCTAGTGAGTCGAATCTAGTGAATCAAGTCCAGAATGCGAAAAAGAGTTGTGCAGCTATACACTATAACCTCCTAAATCAATTCACAATGGCTCCTAGCAAAGCCCATTCGACTTGCTCAATCTAGGTAGTGCATGACAAGCAGTGGACTCTTTTCGCTCATTGACGCACATCGGTCGCTGCCCGATATGTCACGTGCACAGCATCGTCAGCGTTCATTTCCTGCCTCCGCCGAACAGTTTCCCCTCACGAAGTCTTCTCGAGAAGCACCGGGATTCTTCTCAGTGCTCTCGCACCCCACACACCATCCAAATTCGAATCCAATATGGCTAATACAACATCTTCGAAACCGCATCTCTGGGAAGATGATTTGAGCGACGAAGCGGACAAGGAGCGCAGAGTACTAGCGGAGTGGGCGTCAACAATTCCGTTCAAGAGCAAGGCCGATGATTTTCAAGTGCACGAGTCGGAAGAATTCCAGAAACGAATCGTACCTCTTCTTCACAGGCTTCAGTTACCATATAAAGTGAGACTATCCTACCATGTTTAATAAGGAGTTATTGACATAATAAGGGTTATTCACTAGTCCATATTCCTGGCCCAGCACCTGCGCCGTTCTCGCATACGAAGGGGGATGCCTACATTATACCCTTGCAATTATTAAGTGAACAGTCAAACGTCTCGGGTATACCACTTCGGGAAGGCAAAAGTGTCTTTATGAGATGCAACCAAGGGGTTGTCATTAGCCCTGAGTTACGCTTGCTCTTCATATTACTGTGAGACAAGGAGATAGAATAGCCTCTCTAATAATTCAAGATCCATCAATGTGGCCCCAATTAGAAAGTCCATTTGGCTGATCAGTGTAGGTCATCTGTGTACCACAAATAAGATTAGATATCGGAAGCGGAGAAATAGTTAGTGATAAAAAGACAAACCTCCGAATATATGGCCTCATATCGGCCAAATATCATATTTAAACACGTAAGCATTGATTTTTTGGACTATTGCGAGTGAAGTATTACAGATTTTCGAAATCCTACTTCCTGCCTAGAGCTTGTGTGAGAAGACTAATTGACTCCCTTTATCAAATCACCTGAGCAGATCTTCGAATACTGGCTCTTTTCTAAGATTTTTCTCAAATCCTTTCTAGTAAAAAGGAGCACTCTATTATCTATTATTCATTTAATTTAGAATCCTGCTATCGTTCTTGTTTTACTCCATATAACGATGAAACGGTTAGCCAGCGGCCAAAAACGGCTACACTTGACGCCGCTTTCCGAGTTCAACTAACGCTTCGACGTCCTTGGCGTCACGTGCCATATTCGCACGCCACTATGCTTACCACCACGACCCTACACTGTTTGATTTTCCCCTATTACTTGTGCTCGTGGTTCCTGACGTTCAACCATCATACTGCCGCCCTAAGGGCTAGTTCATCGCTCAACCGTACCTTATTTTCTTACTAAAGGAGAGCCATTTTCGGCTCCCCTGGCGATCATCTTATTCGCTCTGATTCTATAAAGGCCTCGATAGTTATGGCGCTCTTACACCTCTCTTCCTTCGCCTTCGAGCGACACCCACACCATATACAAGTCTCTTACTGTTTAATTCAAAACAGCTGGAGAAGCCAGACTTCCATCATCCTCAACAATTTTCACATTTAAGCAACTCCTTCCTATATACCTTTCGTCTGCCATGCGGTGCTTACCTCAGCCGGTCGGATCCGATAATAACAGCGGCATAAGTAGCAACTTTCCGAATATCTTTTCAGACAGTACTTCTAATAATCTTTTTAAAAATACATCCGAGCCAGCCAGCAGTAGTAACAAATCTGATAATTCTGATAATAATTCGATCCTAGACGATAAGAAGAAAGAACAGGAGCTTACCGCATTACACTATTTTAAGAAGACTGAGTCTCTCAATATCTCGCAGCTCCGATAAAAATATTATAGTCCGAAGACCCAATCTAGCTTAAACAATACGCGGGATTACTGGAACCGGTAAGAAGTAGTCAGATCTGAAGTTGAATACTGGTGCTAACAGTCATATTTTACCAGATTCTACTACGAAAAAAAACACAATCCGATCGAATGTTTTGACTGGCTCTCTGATTCCGAGGAGACAATTCGATTCCTAAAGGCCTTTTTCTCCTAACAATACAGTCGGCGACGAAGCAAAACGGGCCGTCGCACTCCTAGAATAAAATATAAAACCTCGCTCGAGACCTTCTAAAAATAATAGTATCTAGTATACAAGGCGGAGGTGGGGCAGAATCTTAGCAAGAACACTACTGTTAAGATCCTGAATATAAGAATCTATATCTTGATAAAGCTGAGGCATTAGCTAATTGTTATAGGTATTAGCTATAGTTGCTAAAAAAAGAAACCTTCTTTCTGGACGGCGACTAAAAGCAACTATATATATCAAAGATGTGGCGGAGTTCGCCCGCGTACTTCTATCAACAACAGAAATAACATTCTAATATAAATAGCTTCGGATACAACTCCTCCTCTTCTACCAGCTGGCCGCTATCACCAGTAGCCGTCCAGAAACTCTTCTAAATCTACACTATCAGAACCTTATACTTACTCTCATTTATAATCCGGACGGAGAGCGTCCCCAATTATTTATTTACTTAACCCCAGAGTTTACCAAGACTTTCTTGGGTGAGAAGAAACAGTAAGTTTTGCAATCTTTATTCGAAGCGTTGAAGATGGTAGGCTATAACAGACCACAGCTAAGTATATTAAAAAAGAAACACTTTTTCTATTCCAGAAATCATCTTTAACCCGACATTAATCCTCAGCCCCCACGTGTTTCTTTTAAAGATGCTGTTTCGAATCAAGACTTTCAAAAACTTCTCCAGAAACGGGCTAGTGGTCGACTGCCCCGAGAATTTATATAATCTGAATATTTTAAATAGACTAAAAGAACAAGAACTGAAATTGAACGACGAAGTTCTCGATCGGTTTGTGTTCTGTCAGGCCCTACATAAATCGGATGGGATCCGAATCGCGTTAGAAAAGCAACTTACAGAAGGAGCATTTTAATATCGAATGAAGCGAGGAGGGGAAATTATAGGATTCGAACAGATTATAAAACCGTACTATCTCCGCTATAGAGCAGCAAAAGCATTTAATAATAGCCGTGAGTTCTTATACTTTACTCCGGGCTGAGTATGACTGCGTCCATACTAATATAGTTATCTATAGCAAACAGCGGATGTTACCAACAAGCTCCAAAACATAATATTACAGCATGCTAGCATCAATACTTTCGTCAAACACTATAGCATGGGCATTCACATTAACGCTCAGACAATTGTTCGGAGACTGCCGGCCCAGAAACAACTAATACAGTTTGCAGTATTTATAAGCCGATTAATTAACCCCCGTCGACCTTACAAATTAGAAGACACTAGCATTATCAGCAAGGTTCCAAATATATATAAAATTCAGAAGAAAGTTATTAAAAGAAAAGAAGTTCGAAAGAAGATGAAACAGGCTTTTAAAATAACAGAACGGGACTTCCAGCGAAAATTCGGCGATTACTTATAATAAAAGAAGTTAAAACAGGAACTCCAAGGCCCCGCTTGTCTGGCATTCGACGTTGTAGAGCGGCAGGAGAGAGAGTACATACATACGATCCAAAAACATACCCAGGCACAACGTATGGCTCGAAATAAGTAGCAACGACAACATAACCGCCTGGTGTATAAAAATCTAATATAATATAAGAACGAGCAGCCGGTGATTGACAGTAAGAAACAACTCACTAAAAAAGTAGTAGATAAAAAGTATATAGGTGCTCTGAAGCGGATAGGATATATAACTCCGCAGCATATCATCTTAATCAATATCATCTTAACCATACCAGGCTCTACTGTTGAGAAGGAGTATCAACATCAAATTGCTGTAATCAACACAGTTATCACTTTCTGTGATGTGGAAGAAGGTTTTCCTATAAGACGACCAAAAGCTACTCAGAAACGTTCCGCTACAAACAACTTACCTTCTGCCCCCTTTATAAAAAGATAAGAACGCCCTTCATCTAAGGACGGAAAGACCACACTTTTCCTTGCATTTGCGTCTGTCTGTATTAAAGCTCGATATAAGCGGCCGACAATTTGTTTCCTCTGCCTTAGAAATCCTCGTTTGCCAGATCATCAGCGAGTTAAAAGCTTTCGGACCCCTAGATCTCTTAGTCGTTACTTTGTTGATATTCACATCATACTATATCCGAAAGACATACGGGTCAAATGCAGTATCTGTAGAAAAGACTTAAAGAGTAAATCTGTATTAATAAACCATACTGAGGGAGTATATAAAACTGTATCACGTCGGCCGCTATCTGCCCTTGGCCCAATTTAGATTTCTAGATATACATCTTCAGCCTAACTGTTTCTACTTCTAGAATCCCGTTGCTTGTTTGTTCTAACACTGCGTATTAAAAACTGGTCCTACAACATCTAATACACTTACTTGTGCTTTAGTTCGCTTTATCTAAGTTGTATAGTTCTTTTATTATATTAAAGTACTGTGCAAGCAAAGCCTCAATAGGCTAAGATATAGAACAATCCCGAGCAAGCGAAATAGAGAGTTCCCTTAGCTCAAAGGTTCGAAATGTGTTATGAGGAGTGGGTCTTTAGCCGCCAATCACGTCGTGTGTCGATTTTATGCCAATAAGAACGACTATTTGCCAAATCTGAATCAGATGTTTCATCAGTGGATAGCCGCTCTGACATTCCTGTACTAATATGTAGAGGATATCCCAATGGGGCTCTTTCTATTCGTAGGCACGGTTCCTTGGCTAAACTGGAACGATTTGTGGTTGCAGCGGCCATCAACAAGTGGACACTGGAAAGCTGGTATTGTAGCGAATACCGTCACGGAACCAGTGCATAGAAGCCTACACTGTTCACTGGAATTAGCGGTACTCATCTTACTGAACGGGTGGAGAAAAGCCTCAGGCAAGGTAGTTCGATTTCTTACCAGCTAGCACAGTACAGTAGTATAATGACTGACACCCTGCATGGTCGGTATCTTCCAGTGAGACTAATCAAACGGGTTCTCTAATAATTCGTCGTGCATTTATTGGCCTAGTGTCATAGATAGGATACTACATTACTGGTTCCTCAGCCGCTAGGTGGGTCGCCACAGCGTAACAGCGTAGCATTCCTCGCTGGATCTAAGATAACAGGCGAATAAATAATTGTGCAGAACAGCTTAGTCATCCATGCGAGCCCGCTTGTTTTCACCATCTGCCGTACTCGTGTTGCTTTATTCTCTAGTATGCACTAGGTAGACTCCCTTACAGCTAAAGATTCACAACAATGATCGAAAGGCTTTCCGACTATGATGACACTTGCGAATCAAGGAACGACCTAACCCTGGGAGGAAATTCACAAAATGCTCCAACAACTGGTAACTCTTTTCGTACACCTACCGAGCCTGATTCTGTTTCGCTCGTTGCCCAAATCTAGTTCGTAGGCACGTCACTATGCCGAAAACATCGACCAGAAACAAGAAAGCCAATTCTATGTTAATTGGTTGAAACAAGAGCGGTAAAGTTAGCTGAACTTAGAAGCAAGGCACGTCACTGTGCCAAGAGAATAAGACAAAAATTGCCATGCAGATAGACGTTGATTGATCAAACCAAATCGGATGAGATATCCGAGCCGGTCCCAAGCCTTGGTGGGAACACAATTCTTAAAATGCCGCCAGCGATCTTCCCACACCATAGCATAAATTAAATCATTCGATTAATATGTGAGGACTTCTAAACAGATATTATCGCACACTCTCAAGCTCTTTCAAAATGCGGCCTATCGCACCAGCTCCTTCGTCTACAATTCCTACATCTTCCTTCGGGCCCAAGGTCTCAGCAGCCCGGGTTCGCAAGGCGTCGGCAGCATGCGGCGAGTGCAAGCAACACAAGATAAAGATAATAATTCTTCAGACTCTATTCGATCCCAAAACATACTAAAGATGGCAGTGCATATTTAGGGACAAGGCCGCTGCCTGCGAACATTGCACTAAGCGTCAACTCTCCTGTACGCTCGACTTGGATGGAGATATGCGGCGGAAAACAGCCTATAAAAAGAGAATTAAAGAATTGACAGAGAAACAGGATATTTTACTCCAGCTATTTCAAACGCTTCAGAACAGTTCAGACGCTAATAGCACGCCGTTGTTGGAATTGATCCGAAGCAAATTAAGTCTCAGCGACATACAGCTTTATCTGGATACTAAACACCAACAACAGGGGTCTAAATCTACCGAAACTGTCGATTCTTCTCAGATATCGACAGAGACCAATAGAAATACACTTTCGCACCGAGTCCTTAGCATACAGCAGCTTTTGGATATGTCAACACGTTGCATTCCTGCAGACTCTTAAATCTCAGCAGTCTGAAGTAACGATAGGATTTCTTACCTGATGTAATCATAACGATCGTGGACTATCGATGCTATGATTAGATTCACCGCGAGCTGCTCCTGCTGGATTATCCTTTGGGCCAGCAACTTAGTTCTTCTTGCCCTTTCAAAATATACTGCGCCGATGGAAGTGCATAATGTATTCTCTCTGATGTGAAAACAAATAGTATTCTTCCAATCACTGCCTTATCAGATAGATCATTCTGTACAATCTATAGGAACTCTTTGATTTCTGGCTAATTCATCTTTTTTATCTGAAACTGGATTGTGGCTTTTCTAGTGACTTGCTCTGTAAAACATAGCCCAAGATTTTGGGTCTAAACATATATTATGGATATTTGTGCTATTCTTGTAATCCGCTGTAACTAATTCTATGCTGAAAGCTAAGATGAGGAAAGTACGTGTTACTACCCTGGCACATGGGGTTGGCTGGCGCTACTTGGAAAATTATTTACCTAAGTGTGACGACTTGATACGGGCTCGGGATACGGTATTCTCATCTGTTCTAACGGATTAATTATCGATTCGGATTAGCGATTTAACTTAGTTCTCAGTATAGCTTGATTTGGAACCTTTAATTTTCTGCATCATAAAGCGATTTAAGAGTTTAGCGTGTTTGTTCTCTTGCCTGTTCGTTGAGGTGGGAGCAGCGGTGGTCGCGGCCGCACTCGGTGGTGCGCTTAACGAGATGCATCTGTTCAACACCTCGCAGTTGACGATTTTCGACTTGTCATCCTTCATCGATGAGTACTCCGCTGTATCTCCTATCTCCGGTGAGCACGGAGTCCGGGATATCCGAGGAGTTCGAAACCAAAAGCGAAACACTCATTACGAAGATTCACTATGATTATTGCTTTAGCCTGTGATAACTTCGGTGATTCTTGTTCCTATAGTACTATATTCGGTCCTTCACCTACAATTACTGGCGCTATGACGTCCAGCGAGGCACGGTTTGCCGGGACTTGACAGCGTCATTGGACATTGAAAAAGGGAAATCAAGGCTTTCAGGACCAGATCAATCAAGCCCTCTTGACAAATGTGCATCTCTACATCAATGGCCTCTGTGTAGTGCACTGCGCTTCGCATCAACATCGATTTCCTGACTGTCTTATTGCCGACTGACTATTCTCTTTCAATGCTGTAGACGTGTTGCCGCTGGCACGTGGTATTCTACTAGGAGACCAAGAGACACAAGTCACAAATCTGGGCTGGCTACCTTCAGGGCCCATGGGGATATATTCGTGAATTATCTTCTATTTATGTCACCATTATCCCCGACTGACCCCTAGGCCACTGCTCCAACATGATGATGTTTGCTTATTTCGCAGTACGGTTCAGTCCACATAATCAAAAGTGCCGGTCCGGCCATTGAAATAGACGCCGCGCTGGCGCCGCCCGGTGAAGGTCCGGCTCACGTGGTCGGTGAAGGCGTTGTAGGCATCGACAAAGACACTGCCGATGCCCGTGTTGCCGTCGTTGGCGTAGCTGCCACGGTCCGGGGATTCATCCCTCCGCTTGCTGCGTCGCCAGCTCTCCCGGCATTGGTTCGCCGTGTACAGGAGCAGATCCGAGACCTGTTGCTTTTGGTACTCCTCGTCGTTGTTGCGCTGCGTCTCGGACGAGCCGTCTTGTTCTCGCACGATGTAGGCCGCCTTGAGGATGGGGTCCATGTGGACGAGTGTCTGACCCTCAGTCAGTTATGACTAGGGCAGCGAGGACGGTGTTTGGGGTTATGCTGGGGCCAACGGCGTACCTCAATGTTCCTCACTGGTTCTTTTAAAAAGCTCCGGATCAAGCCGTCCGGGGATGGGGGAGATCTGCGTCCGAGTTCGGTGAAGAAGACGAGGAGGGATTCGTAGAGCTGGATTATTCGGACAGGGTAAGGAACTTGTTAGAGGACCCCCAGGGAAGAATACGCGGACTTTTCCATACCCTGAGCATCTGCTCCCCAAACTCCTTGACCTCGTCGATATCAGTTCGGTGCAGCTGCGGGCTTCGATCTTCACCCTCATCGTCGGAGTCGGGGTAGGCTAGCAATTGCGACACGCTCATGACGACTCGCTCGATTTTGTCATTGCCGACATACTCGTCGGAGGAAAACTCCTGACCGAAGGAGAATGCCTCGTTGATCTTTCGCATCAGGGACTCGGAGTCGGCGATCCAGCTGGAGGGGGAGGATTAGATTGGTTACACCACCATATTGGAAAAGGGGGGGGAGGCGTACGGTCCAGAGGTCTTGACCCAATTGTTGAGGTGTCGGAGACTCTCATTGAGGTCTTTAATGTCGTTTGTTGCTTTCCTTGCTACAGACATGATGGAGGAGAGGTGGGTAAGAGGGTGGGTGATATGAAGCGCTACAGCTCATGGGATGGTGATGGGATTCGACGTGGTTTAAATACTTAGTAGTGGAGTGCCGTCGAGAGAGCCTGATATCCTACGCTTACCAGTGCAGGTGGCCGCCGCCCCCTGAAGAGTGGTCATTTCCCTACATATGGTGATCTGTGTGCTGGGTGCTTGCTCAGCTCCCCCACTTGTTCCCATTCCACTGGTTCAGTGCGGAAATCGGATCTCCGCCCAGTGGCTCGATCCGATTGAAGTCTGCAGCAGTGCAGCTAAGCGACTCCACCTTCCGTACTCCACCCCGTCATGCTGCGTAGCTGAGTGGCTGACCCCACTGCTCATCGAGGAGACGATCGGCAGTCGCATGGTGGCTGACTGAAACTGCCAGGCTTCCAGCTGGTTCTGATCTAGTCTCTCTTATAAGGAGATGAACATTGATAGTGTACGACAGTGGCTGTTCGCGCTAGCGAAGCACTAGCTCAATAGTCCAAGCCACTAATGGGCTTTAGGGTTGCTGATACGAAGAACGCCAGTGCTTGTTAACAGTGTACACCAAAAAGCAAATCATGTGACTTTTCAATTTGTCCGCTGCTTGACTAACGTAATCGGTAAGCGAGCGGGACGCGCAAGCGAGTGGAACGCCCAACTCGTGATTCTGCTTTATATACAAATTTGAAGTCAAATATTAACCTTTTTACACCGTTCAAATTGCCTCTTTTTAGTATTTTACTCTTACTGGACACTATGTCTGTATATGACCAACTTTATTACATAAAAAACAGCGAGGTGGCGCGCGCCGGCGAGGCTGTTTCTCGCCGGCCGCAGAATTAGACTGTTAGATTTCTAAAGTTTCATCTTCCTCACGAGCCCGGCGAAAAAGCTGTATAGCTTTATGAACTGTAGCTCCTTCGAGGTCTGCTAATTGGCGATTACTTTGTTTCCTCTTCTTAGTCTGGTATTCGTCTGCAGTCTGTAAATCATGATTTTTCTGTTTAAATAAGGCTGCTCTGTTTAACGCGATTTCGCAGCCTTTAATAATATATAATAATGCAGTTCTTATTGACTCCGGAGGACTTCGTGTACGTTCACGCAGTAATCTTTCAATTGTAGTTTCATGCTTCTTCAATTGCCTTGTATTTTTAGATGTTTTTAGTATAGAAGAAGTGGTAGTTTGACTTTCAGTAGGAGTAATCTCTCGCAGGCTATACATCAGCTTTCCAAGCATCTCGTCCGGCTGGAAAGACACCAAGCCGGAAGCTGAAAAGACGTTCTGTATAGACGATTTCTTAAAGGCAAGTTCTCGGGCTTTGGGAAATGTATCCAAGAAATCAACTTTATTAATATAATAGATTTCTTGGCGAATTAGCCGTTTAATCAAACCACCGTATGCTTTTTTTAACGGCGCGAAGCAGGCAACATCCAAAGGCTGGCAAAGATGTGAGGAATGTGGAGGCATACAGATAAAAACAATACTATTCTGGCTGCAGATTTCATTAAAACGAGGCGTTAAATAAGAGTTATGTCCGTCGAGAATCAGGAGGCTATATTTCCCGACTCGCCGTTTTTTAATTAAAGAAATAAAGTAGTATTCAAGCCAATGCAATCCGATCTCGTTACTCGTCCAACCGTTTGGCGAGGTGTTGATTCTCCAAAAGTGAGGCACATTGCCTTTATACCAGGCCTCCATATACATCTTCCCTTTGACGATGATATACGGAGGCAGGGCCCAGCCCGAGGCGTTAATATATTTAATTAATGTTACCCACTCGCGATTTCCAGGCTGTATAAGAAACGGCTTGCCTATACAATCAGATCTCGTTACCACCTTAGCAGTAGCCACCAAGCCCATAGCGAATCCAGTTTTATTAAAATTATAGATATCTTCATCTGCAATTCCGTTCTCTGATATAGCATTTTAAACACAGTCGAATTATTTTTTAATAAGCTTCGGATCTTTGCAGAGGGCCCTTTTATAATCATATCGGCGAGAGAAATATATCTTTAAAGAGTTATAGTATTTAATAAAGTTGTATATCTATTTTTGCTCTACTAAAGCCTCATCCGATGCCTCCGGCGAGGCTCCTCGTTTCCGGATTAATATAGACGCCATTTTACGAACATGGGAAGGCCTGGGGGGAAGCCCTTGCTTATTTAAAAAAAAATCCACTGTTCCAACGTCTCCTCCTCTGCAAGAGTCAATTTACACGAAACGATACGTATATTGCTTTGTAATTTGACTCCTTTAACGCGGTTCCAGAGGGTGGTTTGCGGAATGTTGAAAACGCGCGCTGCTTCTTGCAATGACGGAATTTGATTATTCTTTAAAGCCTCAATGGCTAAGAGGATCCTGCCTTCTTGTTCCTTACGTTTTTTTGACGATATAGCCATTTTGGTGGTTGATTTCGTTGATCAAAAGCCTCATGTTTTGGTGGAATGCGGAAGTCACGAGTTGGGCGTTCCACTCGCTTGCGCGTTCCGCTCGCTTACCGATTACGTTAGTGCTTATTAGACCAAATCTAGCGCCTTTTAGCTGAATTACTAATCAGCCCATCATCCCACACCACCAATCTATTATCTCCGCAAATTGAGATCCTCAAAAGTAGACCAAGTCTAGTTGGAGTTAAGTTGCTGAATATAGATCTAATAGATAGTGAATTTGTTGCAGAATCCCTAATATTGTCGTCCTAGTCTTTCCAATTACTGTTCTCTAGTCAAGAAGCCAGGAACCATAAATCTTGATTACGAAAATAAACTATGAACGGAAGATCAAAGTTTCTATAAATTCTTTACATCTCCAGAGAGTGAGAGCTAGTTGGATCCATAGTTTACTGGTCAGTCAATAAGAATAGTACAGTAATAAGTTCTTGTAATTTTTTATCTGCAAAATAATAATTTGGGATATATACTTTCAAACATCAAACGTAAAGGAAGTGTTGTGTTTTGATCTTTACTGAATTACCATGTCCAGTGGCGATATATTTAGGTGACCTTGGAAATACTGTTAACGTTCTGAGGCGTCATGAACAGGACCCAATTTTGGGGTGGCACAGCTGAGGATCGACCGGTGCTGCAATAAGGAAATAGTTTCCGCCCGGGAGCGTGAGTTCAGGTAAGTAGCTTAGGTTCGAGTGGTGACATCGAAAACATGAAACCGACATAGAAGCGAGTGTCGCAAGAATAAAGGGTGGCAACTTGGCTATATTATCTTCCATTTTCCTTCAAGCAATTATTATAAAACATCCTTTTTCCGCTACTGGAAGTTTCAGAGTGTGCTTGTCGTGATATACAGCTATTCATAAATTAAACTCGTTATGGGCAAGAAAAGCAGTCCACTTACTCATGAGGAGGTAATATCAAATCATTTTCTCCCATCTTTCTCGCGGAAAGTGCTCACTGTTTGTCTCTCTGCCAGCCGCTTTCCGACAGAGAACAGAGAATCTTGACCAAGTACAAAAGCGGGACATTGGGAGATTTGCGTCGATATAAGTCTAGAATAAGTTTGAGGCCGGCTCGGAAAGAGCATAAGCTAACAAATATATAGAAACGAACATACTTTGACTCCGGAGATCTTGCTCTCTCCGAAGCTAACAGAGTAACTGATGAAGGAATTCTACGAACTGGCACCGCTCATCCTTCACAACAAACTATTTCTCGTCCACATGCCCCGGTACCCGAAGGAAGTAATGTGGATAATCGTGCGAATGAGGAAGTGCTTCGCAGAGTAACTCCAGGCCGTGAGATAAATGAAAGCCACTTGAACCAGGAGTCTATTACAAATGACCATCCCGGACAGAAGTAGTCTATCTGGATGGCTGGTATATGCCGCGTCGGGGTCGGAAAATCCAGCATTGAGCTGATCAGATCTGAATTTCTTGTTTCAAACATTATTTTTACCTTAAACCTTTTAGTTTTTCTAACATCAGTCTCTTTGATTAATGGCCAATTGTCCCACTATGGTAGGGTTGCTCCCTTTGATGCATTTCCATGTCTGTCTGAGATGCTCCAATTTTAGAGAAATAACAAGCACACTGATGCTTCCCAAGGAATAATGGCGGCCTCTAGAGCTGGTCACATAGAGTTGGATCAAGGCAGAATTGCCTATAACAGCTTTCTGAACAAGAAAATAGCTTTCACGCGTCGTTGTGAGTGGCAGGTAATTCGATACTAATATCCTGCCGTTGTAGGTTGCCGCGAAATTCCAGAGTTCACGGCAGAACTTCCAGTGGCGACTTGATGAGTAATCATTCAACACGCTATGAGTGACTAGACATCGTCTTCCCCTCAATTACATCATCTTTTGAAGGGCTATGGAGTTGAACTCATACACCTCAAAATCACCAGAAGAGTCTACCGCACTATCTTAGCGATGCCATATCGTGAATACTCCATGAATCCCGTTGCTTGTTTGTCCTTACACTGCGTATTAAGGGCTAGTCCCACAACATCTAATACACTTTCTTGTACTTTGGCTCGCTTTATCTTAGTAACATAGTTGTCTTGTCATGTTAAAGTATCCAAAGCTTCAATAGGCTATAGTGTGAATCAATCCGGGCAAGCGAAATAGAGATAGAACATGCTGGATAATGGCTTATCTGGCAGAAGTTATATTTTCGATACTTGACCAGACCAATTATAGCGCTATGCCAGCTGCTGGAAGCTGCCCCATCCCCCTCTAAAAGCTCTCTCTAGAATTGCGTGGCACTGACTCTTACTCCTAAACAATTAATGCGGTCCCTTTGTTTTGCTTGGCACATTGTTTTGCTTAGTTCATGTCTACTTGAGTCTGACAGACTGCAAATATAGGCCTCGACGAAGCGATTCTCGTCAGAAAAGTAATGATAAATCTGGCGTGGTTGTCATGAGCCAGGCGCAACGCAACGTTCAGGCGACAATTTAGGTGACCCGCTGAAATGTTCTGTTTGTGTCTATCAACACCGCGTTTTTCCTGAGTTTAGGTAAGACTGTGTCTTCAGGCTCGAGCTATTGTCAGCTGGGGTCGTGGGTCCTCAAAATACAACAGACAATTCAAGGCCAATACCGTTACTAGACCAACGTGGCGGCCGGTTGACGCTTCAGGGGAATATCTAGAGTAGGAGCAGTGGACTTCCAAAGTAAATCCCCTAATACAGCATTTTACGCCTTACTGAATGCGTGTCCCGGTTTCTCTAGGTTGCAGTGCCATCCACCGGCAGTGCCGGGTTTCGCGCGGAACGATCTCGCTGTGGGAGACTGCATTCCTCGCATCTTTCAAAGGCGCTGCCCAAAGAGCTTTGTTCGTAGCACGAACCTGGCCGCGTGGAGAATTTTGTGTCATCGGATCAACTTTTATCCGCTTTATCATCCCGCTGGGGTCTACCCCTTCCAGGGGTTAGTTTTGATGTGTTGTCGTTCTTCATTCAGCCCTCGCTTTTCAATGATGACACCCTTCTCAACAATCACTCATTACAGCCATGTCGTACCCAGTCGACTACAAGGCCCTGTTTCTCAGAACCGAGGAGGAAAGGAGGCAGGAGAAGATACTGAGAGAGCAGGCAGACTACCGACGGACCGGAGAAACTAAGGTATAACGCCGCTCGCCTTGCCGGCTCTGCGATCGTAGGTAGGCCTTTGTGCCAATAAGAACAAACCTTTGCTCAAAGCCTCAGCGAGTGTCCCATTCGTGGCAGCCCCTCTCGGGGTTCCTCATCCACTTCTTCTCAACAGAGCGCAAGCCCCACCAACCTCCGCAATACCTGACGCCCTATTTCTCATAACTTCAAATATGGCCTTAGGTCCGTATCTTGCCTACAATGGTGTGGACTACGAGTGTTTGATCTGCGAAAGGGCTTTTATTTCCGCTGATGCGCTTTACGCCCATGCGGGCAGACTTCACTGCATTGAGTAGTTGTGAAAGGTTCTGCCGAGTATTTATTTCAAGTTTATTAGATCTGCGTATCTACGAAAGTCTAACAAATACCATGTCTGTTCGTCTTGTCCTCGGTCGAAAGACCTCGAGTCTAATGAAGAACCTCTGCAACCTTTCTGTGGCCCAGCTTGACACAGGTACCAAGAAAGACTACGAGACCGAGATCCTGTGAGGTCGAATCTAGCTAAGCCAAGAAGACTGAAATCCACAAAAAAAAATACACATCCTCATAATAGAGGAAGCATATAGGGAAAGTCGGCGAGAATGTGTAGATCTAGCAGTCGGGTCTCGGTAGCTGAATACTCCCTGGCTATTCATTTCCGTTTTAATACTGAACTTCCTACTGAGGCTGTGTGTAAGTATTTTGTTATCCTACAGTGGTGTCGAGGTCGGACTTATAGCGACCTGGGCGTTCATCCTTGCAATCTGACTCTTTATTACGCTTCTTTCGGCAGGTATTAGCTTCTGCTTGTAACTTTCTGTAAGATATCTAGATTCTAGTACTATATAGAAGTAGATGTCTTTAGATTAGAAAGATTACTCTCGAAATTAGGTGCTACCCTCAGAGAAATACATCATCCGATTTCCCGTCCCGTCGAATTCGAAGGGGTGGATTGATAACAATTATTATTTTTTAATCTTATAATACTTATTAATAGGATGATTTCTATTTAAGCACATTCCTACTTTACCCATGTCGAATTTAGTTGACTATAAGGCTTTGCTGTTGGAAGCCGAAGAGAAAATAAGGAAAGCTGACGAAGAAAGGAAGAAAGCTGAGGAGGAAACGAGACAGGAGAAACTACTGAGAGAGCAGGCAGAAATATAAAATTGTCAGACTATTTTTAAAAAGTTTATTCAGTACTGTTATAATCTTTTTTTAAAGTTTTTGAAAGCCGGAAATTCCGTTCAGTCTACTACTGATAAGATTCCGGCCCCTACCGGCAAGTACTGCCCTCTATAATTAAAATCTTAGACGGAGTGTGCTGTTAAATAATAAAAAATCTACAATCTAGTCTGCTATTATTTAAAGCTATTAAATAAAAATGCACCACGTCTGTTTGCACCGATTATTGAGCTGGAGGGGCTGAGATACTATTTCGCATATCGGTTTTTAAGCAGTAAAAAAGATTTTGAAAGCTATAAATATTTTACTGTTGAAGATTATATTTATAATATCATCTCAGTACTATACAAAATACTAAGTACTCGCAATGAATTCGGCTTAGAAAATAAGATGTGGTTCGACAACTATATTAATACTTTTAACAAAATTCCGCTAAATAAAATAAATTTAGAGGAATGTCCTGCGCGTTCCGACCAATTCTATATCTACCGTATTAATAGAGATATTAGGATTTTATTAACTGCTGTGGAGTATAAACCGCTGTATAAACTGTCTAATAAAAATCTTAAAACGGGACTCCGACTGATAGACTTTTATTATAAGATTGTTGAATCAGAAACAGTCCCTACCGACGAA